TAGACAATGATACTTACGAGAGTCCATGGGCATTTCCTGAACTGTCGTCATGGGTCCAACCTCAGGCACACTGATCTTGCGTCGTCGAGCCAGACTGTGTTGATTGAGTCGCTTCTTCAAGCCATTGAGTCCTGTTTGAAAGTCCGTCTTTTCGTTTGACGACGCTGCAGGTGCCATGGTAGCTTTCTCGGAGTCTATGCCTTTGTTGCTGTTGAGGACTGGCAGTCTCTTCTCCTTCGGAAAAAGCTGATACTTCTTCGAAGAATCTGATTGTTGCATTCTCCAGGTGAATGGCTTCTCGTTCTGGGGGTTTGGGGATGTTTTCTGAGAAAACAGCTTTGGTAAGTTTCTTGAAACAAGGTATTGGAATTGAAAAGAATATATACATACCAAATCACTGAATAGATGCGAGGTCTTGTTGGTTATATAGGTGGTGTCGATATCGACGAGGCACTTGGCAATATGGGCCATTGGATCGAAACAATACTGCAGCCAGGCAGCTCCAAAGGGAAATAGGTTGGTGTCAGAAATAAATTGCCACGGCTGATGATACCACTAACGTCAAAATCGAAGCGGCATAGCATGAAATTAACGAATATTGGACCGGTTTAAGTGTTTCGGATTCCTGGGATCGATGGTATATAACCATTAGTTGTGAAGGGGATCCCCGTCGTTGCTTTTTGCGCCAAGATGTGAGCTCTCCGGTTAGCTCTACCCGTTTGTACATAGTTGGACATGGCTACCGGACAGCCTCAGTCGGGGCCCTTGTCTATGACCCATGACGGAATGTCAGGCCCTGAGCCCTGGCCTCGCATCCTAGTAAAGAACAGGCCCTGACGCCCCGCTTGAACGGTATGTTGTCACGCCCCAAGACTTAAGATCATGGAGAACTTTGATATGGACCCGAGATAAGCGTGGTCACGAAGAGTTCTCAGGCACGGCACAGATGTCAAGGCGAGGTTGATGACAAGTCAAAGTACACATATGTGCGACCCGTGGTCCAAGCTCCATGCGAGGAACAGACGGTCCAAACGTCGTGCACCAGGGTCGAGGGTCGGGGTGGGATCAAAAAGGAGGATACATCACCCTGGCCAGTGCAAGCTAGTAGACGTTTTGTATAGCAAATCACAACTGGTGTGTCTGAAAACATTTTTCAGTCGACGCCTCATCGGGGGGTTTTGCTCTTGGTTGCCATCCCTCTTGGTTCCCCCTTGACGAACCCTTGGCATCGAAATTCGCGAACTTGGTGAAGCTGCCCCCTGGACCCAACCTCGGCTGCGACTTTGGTAGAGCCGGGACAGGGACAGGGGGTTGAGCTATGTACGGAAGCATCTCCACCATGACGGACACAGAGATGAGGGACCCTAGACAGACCCGCGAATAGGTGAGTCGTGGGTACTTGGCGAACCGCTTCTAGAGCATGTCGAACTTTCCCATCAATCATGGTCGTTAGGGATGTGGCTCGTGCGACGACTGATGATGTTTTCCAGAACGGCGAAAAAATTACCGACGGTGGAGGATGGAGAAGAAAAGAATTAAACAAAAAGGAGATAATAATAGGTACAGAGATAGTGGGCAGGTACCGGCCGGCCGACTTACTGCAGCAAGTGCAGGTAGTACACAGGTGATAGATGAAAAGTGGAAGGGGAAAACAATGCACCCCAGGCCTTCCAAATTGGGACGTATCGTTGACAAACAGAGCCTCTCCCTTGTGAAAGCCATGTTTCAGTTCCCAAGACGTATCAAATTTGGGAAGGAGTGAACGGGATAACGCAGGAGAGAGGCGCGCCACACCAAACACATCAGTTCCAGTGGGTTACCTCACATTACTTCAGTCAGTATCAAAAGGGAGACTGCATTGCAGGAAAGTAAAGTGATTGAGGCAGATCCTGCAGATTGAGTATTAGAGTAGTAATCTACCTATTCAACAACCTGGATAGAGTTTTTTTTTTAATCTCGCAGAATATACCGAACATTGACCAATAGTAATGCCTCCATGCTTAAGCACAACTCTAAATAACCTCAACTGCAACTCAAGCTCCATAATCTATGCCTCACGTGCAATGTGTGTTACAGAGCATCTGGTATAGATCAACAATATCTACGGGTAGATGCGTGAGATTAGAACGAATACCACGGTGAGAGTTTTGCAGTGACTCGCGTTCTCGCCAAGAACTTATGCCAAAGTACTCCATACTGCCACTCTATTAGCCACATATATGCCTCTAGTACTGTACTGCTACACTACTACTCGTATTGAAGGACCTGGTTAGTTATCTGCGCCTCTAACTAACTCGAAGTATAGGTATAGCCAAGGGACCGTTATCTGTCATATTAGACTTGACTTTGCTAGACCGGATATCACAATTCCATTGTTAGCTCGACATGAGAAATTTGTTATTTGCTTTTTTCCTCCATCGTACCGTTTTTCTCCTTACTTCTTTTTTGCTTTAACAAGGGCTGCTAACGGCGGTTTATTTTATCCCCGTCGGGAGACGTCCACTATCGCTGATCAACTTCAGGGGAAACCCGAGTGCAACGCAATGTGCCCGGCACTAACGACCAAGAAAAAGAAAAGAAAAAGAGAGAAAAGTAACTAAAAAGTTTACGCTTGATCTGCGAAACTAAGAAACGTAGATCTACAAGACTTTGTATACAAGAATAAAACTGTGCCACATGCAGTTGGGTAGAAGGGCCTCAGTGGCTTACAGTCCACTCAATGTCTAGAATTCTTCATGCTTATCACCTGTATAGGGATCTAATGTTGGAAATTTCCCCGACAAGTCTCGAAACAATGGACTCTTACAAGCTGTAGGCATGGATGTTTCTCCGACGTCATTTGAATCACAACCGTTTTTTTATTTGCTTCTACCGTCTCGTTTCCCATCCCACCTGAACTTTACATACAACCCCAGTCGATGACAATAGAATAGGCAAATAACCTTACCTATAACACATGGCTATACTTCCCTTTCCATTTGAAACATAAGCGCACCCAGTGCTAGTCGGGGGTTTCTCTCGTATCCGTTGTTTTCTCGACGGTTTTTGGATCAAACCAGACACAGTGTTGCCTGCTACGCAGCAAGTGGCTAACCATATCAGACAGTAGGACCTAACGTTACAACTAATATTTCTTGGCTGTTTGATGGCACAGCTTTCCTTCCCACTCGAGATTGATCTAGAAACAACTCATCATTTCCGAACTGCATCTTTAGCATACCTTTTTTGGCCTGATAATTACCATTATGGGCAAGCTCATCGCTCTTGGATAAGCCCTGTGATTTGAACCACGGAATTATATCCACTACTCTGTAACGTGCTGCTGCAGTAACATCGTCTCCTCACCATCACGATGAAGAACAGAATGGCGACAGCACGTCCTCTACTGGATCTGCAAGACTGTCCCTTTTTCAGTCTGTGTAGCTCAGCTCGCTTGTGTGAGAACTCGTACAGGGGGGGCCTTGCACTATCCCGTGCTTGCTGTCGGTCCGGGCTGTGCACCCGGCCAAGGATCATTTAGAATGTGTGGTTTTAGGAAGTCTCAGATCTAGACTGACATCTCCTCGACGCCAGCGTTTCCAGTGGAGGCACCTGCTGCTGTAGATGTGAAGTTTGCCCACTACACTACTACCTACCTATTATTGATACAGATTCGATGATGCTTTTCGACACGGCACACAATCAGCATTGGTCAGAGCGCAAACGCGTGCATGGGTTTCAGTTGTCGCATGCCGGCAATCACCTGCCATCACGTTATGATGGAGATAACTAGTCAAGATCTTTGATTTGTGTCTCGCTCGGATACCCAATGTTGCAGATCGAAATACTACTTGGAAATGACCAGCACAGTTCTCATATGAAGAAACAAGAGTTCATATTATCGTTGCCCAGAAAACAGCTCAACGACGTCGTCCAGGTCCTTGTTACATTCGCCCTTGGATTTAACTCACCCTTGGTAATAAAATCTACGAGATCCTGTATGTCTCACCCGGCTTGCTAGTGATATAAGCCAAGCAAAGAGGCAAATGAGAAAACAAAGAGCCGTCCAGACACTCTACATGAAACAAAGGTTCAAATGACATATGGTGCATAGTATGGGGAATGGAGGACCCAAAGGGTTGGGAATTTTGACAACCGGATGCAGGGAATATGACGTCCGGACGATATACCTTGAAGAGTTGGTTTAGAAGGACGCCACTTGCTTGTTCCCACTGGCTTAGACCTCAAATGAGAGGGAATACTCTGGGGATGTTACTCTGTGGCGTCGTCCATGTATGTGTAGGTGCCTGACTTGGTACCTTGGCGTATTGGATGCACAGTAGGTTTGGTTGGGAGCTACAAACACGTGGAACATACATGCGGTGCAGCCCTACATACCAGCCTAGATAATGCGGATCATTAACCGTATTGTAGTTAGAGACTATCTAGCCCGTAGATAGTGAGTTTCATTTTTCTGTCTAAGACCTCGGTTGCAGATATGGTGGCCAGTGCACTCTAGACGACTTAGCTAATACGGCATTTGATCTGACATGGCCGAGCGGCGCAAACATCGTGAGGAGAGAAGATGATGGCGAGATTACCGAAACACGCACCTGCAACTGTCCTGTGTGATCACGCAAATAATGCACATCACTTCCTCGAGAATAAACATGGCCAATGACAGGAAAGTGGTCCTCAAGATAGCACAGAGTGTTTCAAACGAAACATGAGGCTTTGATGCTGTGTTTTAGTCAAGATCTACCAGGATAAAACAACAACATTGACATTGCAACGCATACGGAAATGCTTGGCAGCGTGGCGACCCTACGACCCTAACCTGCCTCTCTCTCTCATACTCTTTCTAAGACCGCTTCACGAGGAGGCCGGTTTCGGGTCTGACAGAGCTGGAACGTGGAAGACGTTTCGATAACGTTGGCGTGCTAAGACCAGGGATTGTCTGCAAGCCTCCACCGGATGGCCCCTGCATTAAATCAACGGCTGGATTCCCCCTTGTACCCAAAATGTCTGTTCTACCGTTGTCACCGCAGGCCTGGTCCAGGCTCGCTTGCGCTCTGGTGGTTTCGTGGGGTGATATTTGCTCCCTCACCATCAAGCCTCCTGCAGCAACGCCAAGATCTCTTACAGGGAGCACCACGGGATGGTTTCTTCACTACCAGCAAGTGAGTGCTAATTAGTCAATGCCTCTACGGGAATACATCCGCACTTTGGTCTCGTTCATGATGGGTTGTACGCGGAATGTCCGCTATCGAGGAGAGTCTTTTTTTGCCCAGTCTTGCTGAAACAATAATGCGTTTGTGTGACTCGAAGTTCTCAAAGAAGAAATCTCAAGGGTCGATTTGGTTTCTCTAGATCTGTGTCTCAAGACAGAGGCGATACAGAAACGATACAGAATGCAACTGCTGCTAGGGTAATCACGTTCCCTCTATTTCGATTACACGGCTGTGAGAAGATCCGAAAGCCTCAGTTTTACTATGTCATGGTATTAGAAAGCGAGGAAGAAAACTAGTCAGCCCTCGGAGATGACAATATCTGAATGAACTATGACCTCGTCTACTAGATAATATTTCACGTTCCATAGCCATAGTAGTTCCTGTCAGTTCCTGTCAGTGACTGGTCTAACCCCATTGGCCATTCAAGTTGCATTGATCACTCGGTTCAGGGGAAACGAACTGACGTTCCGATCTAGTTCGTTGAGCTAGCAATAGCCCATGGGCAACAAAGACGATCCTCACTCACGCTCGGTTCTCAGTAATTGCTTCTGTGCGCATTCCCCTTGAAGCCCTGCTCCGGCCGTTAGCGCCAAGGACATCGCCGAGTCCAAATTGGACCCTTATGCCGTTGCTGAATATTTAGCCCGGGGCTGGGAAGAGCTATACTGGTACATACCCTGAAGTAAAGATAATAAACAGTGACAACATATGATCATGGAGCGGGAAGTGAACACCATCATGGGCATGCGAAATTAAACCACCGACTAAGCGACGGAACTGAAGAATGAGCCATGACCGCCCCTGAGATTTTTCTCTCTTTTTTCTCTCTCACGACATGACGTGAAAACATCGTTAATTATTGCGGATATCTCAGATACTCGATAGGACTATTTCATCCGCCTTCAACTAGTCTTGGTATGCATGCATATGCACTCCATTTAACTAACCTGCAAGTTTAATGAAAAGTGTATATATGACCGAAGAGCCATGTGCTCTGTTGTAATTGCTCCATCTACGAGCCTTAACTATCTATTTTCCGGTAATGGCAGGTCTTGATGATCTAGTGGAGTTTTCTTCGCGATGTAATGCAATACAACTTCACGAGAGCGCTTTAGCAGCAAATGCGACTGCACGTGACTAAATATGGACGCAAATGCAATGCAATTACAGCACAAACTACTGGGCAAGATTTGTTTCGATTCCATGTCATATGCCGTCGATAACAAAAGTTCCTGTTCAATATGCCGCTATTTTCATATTTAATACGGCTTTGGAAGGTGGTGAAACTACATGGACGGGTCCCCTCACGTGATGTCATTGCGAAGAATCTCAATGGATGTAGCCCAGTTACAATGCGGGCAGGTGCAGGTCGTGTCGTGTCGTGTGTGCTGTATTTTGCTGTGAGCTTTTACTGGACGACCCTCAATGTCGTGGTTTTCATCACTCAAGAAACCCTCCATTTTGCGAACCTGTCAAGTCACAATCACACACAACCTTAGACGCACATTTGCTACTGTCAACCCAATCATGACGGCCAATCGGGATCCCAGCACTCTCTCAAACTATAGCGCTTGGCGCACCCGTCATACCACCGCCAACTTCAAGATCGACTTTGACGAGAAGGCGCTCAAGGGCTCTGTTGTTCTGCAGCTTGAGTCACAGACTGACAAAGAGAGCAAGGAGATTATTCTCGATACTCGTTATGTCGACATTTCTAGCATCAGTATCAACTCCAAAGAGTCCAAGTGGGAGCTCAAGAGCTTCAATGCCCCTCTCGGTGCCCCTCTTCACATTGCTGTGCCTGATGGTGTTGCCAAAGGCGAGCTAATTGACCTTGCCATTGACCTCCAAACAACAAGCAAATGTACTGCTCTGCAGTGGCTCACTCCCGCTCAGACCTCCAACAAGAAGCACCCGTACATGTTTTCTCAATGTCAGGCCATCAACGCTCGTTCCATCTTTCCTTGCCAGGATACTCCTGATGTCAAGTCTACTTTCACCTTTAAGCTGACTTCATCTCTCCCTGTTGTTGCCAGTGGTGTTCCTGTTGGAGACCACGAAGCAACTCCCGGCAAGGAGAAGCTCTACGAGTTTGAGCAAAAGGTCCCTATTCCCTCTTATCTTTTTGCTGTGGCCTCCGGTGATATTGCAACTGCTCCTATCGGCCCTCGAAGCGTTGTTGCCACAGGCCCTAACGAGTTAGAAGGATGCAAGTGGGAACTTGAGCGTGATATGGAGAAGTTCATGGAGGTGGCAGAGAAGCTTGTCTTCCCTTACAAATGGGGAGCTTACAACGTTCTTGTCCTGCCCCCAAGCTTTCCGTACGGAGGTAGGTTGTTTTCTTGCTCACTACTCTGCAAATTGCTGATATACCTGTAGGTATGGAGAACCCCATCTACACGTTTGCTACACCCACAATCATCAGTGGTGATCGCCAAAATGTGGATGTTATCGCCCACGAACTGAGCCATAGCTGGAGTGGTAACTTGGTCTCCAACGCCAGCTGGGAGCACTTGTAAGTTCGCATCTATTGAAACATCGAGATTGTGGTATTGATGGCTTTTAGCTGGCTGAACGAAGGTTGGACAATGTACCTTGAGCGTCGCATTCAAGCCACTATCCACGGTGATGCCGAGTTTGACTTTTCTGCTATCATTGGATGGAAGGCCCTTGGTACGTAACACCACATTGCTGTCAAAACTTGAACTGACCATGTTATAGAGGATGCCGTAGAGCTCTTTGGCAAGGACCACGAATACACCAAGCTCATCATCAAGCATGACGGTGTTGATCCTGAGGACGTCTACAGCACTGTTGCTTACGAGAAGGGCTTCCACTTCCTCTACTATTTGGAGGGCGTTGTTGGCCGAGAGAACTTTGACAAGTTCATCCCATTTTACTTCACCAAGTGGTCCGGAAAGTCCCTTGATTCATTTGAATTCAAACAGACCTTCCTCGACTTCTTCAACGGCCTCGGAAATGAGGAAGTTGCCAAGAAGATCACCGAGATCGATTGGGACGAAAAATTCTACACACCCGGTCTCCCCCCCAAGCCTGAGTTTGATACTACATTGGCAAACCAGTGCTATGACCTTGCAAACAAGTGGAAGGATGCTGTAAGTTAAATTTCTTGGAATGTTTTGCTTGTGCCCACTAACGTGTAAATAGAAATTTGAGCCCAGCGCTAAGGACCTTGAGAACTTTACTGCAAACCAGAAGCTTGTCTTCCTGGCTGAAGTACAACAGTCCGGTGATCTAACTGCAGACCGAGCTCAGCTCATGGGCAAGACGTACGATTTCCTGTCATCGCAGAACGTGGAAATCCTCTCGGCGTACTACCTGATTGCTCTACAGGCAAAGGATTCTGCCATTTACCAAGATGCCGCCACTCTACTCGGAGGGGTTGGTCGTATGAAGTTTGTGCGACCTCTGTTCCGCGCCCTTAACAAAGTGGACCGACAGCTTGCCCTGGACACCTTTGAGAAGAACAAGGACTTCTATCATCCCATTTGCAAGGGTATGGTAGAGAAGGATCTAGGTCTTTAAAGCTTGAGTCGCATAAGAACGACAAATTGGCATGTAGATAGACCTATTCTAAAAACAAGAAGTAAAAGAAAAAGACACATTTACTCTAGCCAGCCTGATGTTTCCATAACTTGACCCCATGTTTGATCTTGTCCTCGAACAAACTTCTCAATAGAATCGACATTATCCGCACCAAAGTTGCCATACAAGTGGGGGAAGCCACCCTCCCATTTCATTGACTCAGCAAACTGGGCATATTCCAGCTTGATAACCCAGAGCGAAGACGTCTTGGTGAAAAACAAGTCTGCAGTCTTGGGCACCTGGTTAATTATGTTAGTGACATGGTATATCCCTCAGCCAAAGTAAATTGTTTCACCTGAGATGATGTGCTCAAATGAACGAAGCCATCATTGCGGTCCAACTCGGACAAGGGATACTCTTTTGGAAACGGATCCTCAGGCGCCGAAGGGATAATTTTGTAAATGTACTTTGGAGGAGATTCAGAAGACATTGTGAATAGCTAATTAAAATGTGAACTGTGCAAGTGAAAGACTGAACCCCACTAGAAGAAATGGTGATGTTTACAGAATTACGGGGCCGAAAAAGCTGACCTCTCAGTGTCAGGATGCAGAAAATAAGCAGCCTAATTTCTGATCTTGGCTGGAATTAGCTGGCTGACTTATTTCGTCTCTTGTGCTCTCAATCAGTACACAGTAGTTTTGTAATGTCCGAGGCTGGCGTCGTTTACCCACCCTATACCCTCTCGCGACTTGAGGCTGATATGTAATTAATTAGTGGTACTGTATTCGTATTGATCAACTGTCCCAATGCGATGTGTTAAACAGTCACTTGTTTTATGATAAGGAACTCTTTCGTAAGATAGGCGATGTCGAGAAACTCTCATGCGTTCCTGTCATCGCGAGTGTACATTTTACGCTTTTACAATAAAGTTGAAAAATATTTACTCACCACCCATGCAGGCCTCGTTTCGAGGAAGAAAGAATATTGACTTGATGGCAGAATACTGAGCATTGCGTAACGAACATCGAGTTGGGAAAGAAGTTGATGGCTTTGTGGTACCTACCCTGAGTGCGAGCTCACACTGTAGACGCGATAGATATCATAGTAAATAAGCAATCACTAACGACCGCACTGTGCTTCAGTAACTTTAACGTTTCACGTGAAGCTCATTCTTCAACCTCCATTCAACTCTTCAGCCTCTAGATATTCTATGCCACTGGCACACCTAATATTGCGGGATTTTTTCTAAAGCTGCAACATAATCACACCTTTCAGGCCTCAAAATTTCCTGACACTGACAGAGCTGACATGTCGCGGGGCCCAGTTCCCTCTCAGCTTTACTTGCTGTCTGATCTGCCCGCTGTACCTGTCGGTGACAAGGTCAGGTTTCTGGGATGGTAGGACCAGTGAGCCCCTTTACAATCCTAAATGTGTTGCGATGTGCTTGATCGCTTGATTGCACTTTCACACACGGCAGAAACTGTTGGCTAATAGCTTCCAGTGTCACCTCTTATTCAACCTCTTCGGCCCGTTTGGCTCTTGGTCACCTTTATCCGAAGGATAGTACTGTCACTGCTTCAGTGGATGTAAGCCTGCTTCTGCAATCACTCACAGATGAGAAAACACGTGTTGGCGAGTACGTCAATGCAATAGGGTACATTACAGAACAGAACACTACCCGTCATGAGAAACCACCATACCGAGAGTCGAAGCAGGTGTGTGTTCAAGCGATAGTCCTCTGGTCAACTGGTCCGATGGATCTTCAAAAATACGAAAAGCTTCTTAGTCCCCAAAAATATGTCCCTAAAGCTGCAGTCGACAGATCATAGAAGCATCAGATCAAAACCCGATTCTTCGTCATGTATTTCCAGAAGGCGGTGATAATGACTGACAGGACATGATCGAACCCGTAGACCTGCACTAGGCGATATCGACACGAAACACAATGTAAATTCCGATTGGATCACTAGTGCTGCCGGGAACCGAATTTATCAATTTGACAACTGGACTTTCGTGCAATCAGGCAACTCCGTCTGCACTGCATGCCTAAACCGAATATATTTGGGCAGTGTTGATACTCGTCTGGGCATGTTGGGTCGGGACTATGCCAGATGGCACCGTGTCTGTGGATAGACATGGCACCCATCAAAGCACTTGCTTAATTCGGAACAGCTGGGTATCTTATCCTCCACATGTCTATCTTGGGCAACATACAGCATTTGCTCCACAATTGGCCTCTTACCTTACGGCCTTTTGCTTCACCGCACCCCAGAATCCTTGTCCTCAAAACGCCTTATGGGCCTCAATACCTGGGGTGACGGCTGTTGGTCACAACGTTTGGCATGCAGACAACCCCCTACAATTGACTGCCAGAGTCTTGGCATCCACCACGAGGTAGCATGATCATGACAGCTGAGTCATATCGGAGCTCAATGATCATCATGCCGGGGTCAATCATAGTAACGTCGATGAGGTTCTCTGGACGACCCTCTCGAAACAATGACAGGCTGGTGTAACGGTCGTTTCAACAGTTTCTCGGGATTTTGTTGGACCTTGGCTGCGGCCTGTCGATCCCAAAGATCTTTCGATTTTCGGCAGATATCATCGATTTGTTCCTGTCAATTGTGTCAATCAAACTGGGAAGCTCTTTTGCAAGATTGCAGTGACCAACGTCTGTAAGGCAGGAGCCTGGAGTGCTGATGAGGAAACCATCCTCTCCCTACGTTCGAACACATGAGCACAGGATAGCCGCTGGGCTGGCTTGACAAAGAGATACCTCCAACGTATATGGTCGAACTGTTGCCTGAGGTCCCAGATAGAACTGGAGCTCCTGGGTTATAACCTTTCTGTGGATGTCTTGATGGGGAATCCAGTATTTGTTCATTGAAGAGGACATGGTCGCACAGTCGATTCTCATGGAGAATCTACGATTATTCAAGATAGACGGGAAAAATGAATAGATATTGAGTCAAGGAGAGGTATTTATTTATATAAGGTACGGTATGGTACAGCCTGCCACAAGATATGGTTACGATGTGCCTGATGGAAAGAGGGTGCATTCCATGCTAATGTATGTAAACCCAAAGTATGTTGGTCCATTGCGTGTGACTTATGCTCACCGCTTTACAGGCTGGTATCTCAACACGAATCTGGAACTGCTCAAGGGATAGCTGAATTTCATTCGCTGCATTTACTTTGACCATTCCTTGTTGACAAAATTAATATCGCAGGAAACCCCTGCCATACGCCGTGAGAGTTGAAAGTGAGGCGAATCAGGTGTGGTTGGCCATTGGTGGGCGGTGTCCAGCATCCGCCCTGCCAGCGTGGCAAATATCGAACGGGTGCATCTGATGCCAGTAATATAGCGAGAAAGGTAAATCGAGAGAAAGTTTAGCTGATTTGAGACTCAATTATTGCTCCTGCTCAAACACCTGAGCGTTTTAGCACGTAATGTGGGGGTTTCGCGCGCATATCGACAAGGCTGTCTCTCCCAACAACCCTACGGTCATTTTTTACTTGGATGAACCCAGATCTGCGCTTATCACCCGCTCAAGCTTTCATAATTGGAGAGCTTTATTGGGCGGGCTAAGCGCCATGTGCATCTCTTGACCTAGGGTCTCGGCACATAAAGTCACTCTGACGATAAGGTCTACGGGTTGCCGATCTTGCAAGCGACACAGGGATTCCTTCGCTTTCTCCACGATGCCGAAAGCCAAGCGATTCTGTTATTCTAGTTCATACTAGCATGCTCTATCTGTCGGGTGGGAATGACTTGCCCCAAGGCAAATCCAGGGCCACCAAAGCCGGCAGAAGTGCAACCAATTTTGGCCGTTGTACTTGTGATTGTAGGCTGATTTGTTCGTTTTGGGAACAGCTACAGCCATGAACCTTGGAAGCTTAAAGGATTGGCGATGATTCGCGTTACAGGAGACGCCCGTAGAGCCAACAACCCACAGTGCAGCCTCAAATCGGAGAACGATTGTCGAAGCGGGAGTACTGCTGGGGCAGGCTTTGTGAATGACACGCCCTGCTTCGGAAGAACCAGTGAAGGACAATTGTGGCTGCACTGGCCTGTATGTCTCGAGTTTATTCCCTCCAACCTCGTCATGCAGATTGCGAGTTCTTCTCGGTGAGTGTATTGAGCAAGTAGCTCACGGCAACCAGAGAGGTTTGTGGAATCTTGTAAGTGAGGCAGATTTCAACTTTCATCCACAGCCCGTGAGCTGTAGTCTCGAAAAGTTAACCAATGCGGGCAGGTTTCACAACTTGGAATATCTGGAGCCACCTGCCAGCTATTAAGACAGCTGCAAGACATAAGTTCAACCCTTTCGCTCGGGTAGATCGTTCGAATAGTACAGGGGCACGTGTAAAGGGCCCAGTTGCTAGTGCCCTGCAGGCATGACTCTGCAATTTTCAATACTCTTCTCACTTTACCAGACGTTGCACATTATTTGTAAATAAGCTGGAATTATTTAAACAAATTTGTGGTGATAGGCAGTCAGTGTAAAGCCAACGGTTCTGATTATTGAAAGCTTGAGTTTTTAATATTTCAACGACTTTGTTGAAACTGTTGCACAGGAAGCACAGGAATAGAAACGGGAAGGTAATGCCACATAATGGCGTCCTTGTTAATTTGACAGTTAGCCGTTAAACATTTGGAGTTTGTGAGAAGTTGGCTTATGCTGATACGTTGTTTTAGACATTAATTTGCGTTGAAGTTAATGGCATGAATGATCGGATTGCGGTTAATATTCGGCAAAGAGTCAATTAACGGTTATTTGCACGTGAACTCTACTCCAGGCTTCCCATCGACCCCAGATCCCCTGCTCCAGAATCACCTGCCAATCAAAGCACGGGACTCAAGCCAACTGCAGGAAGGAGGATGCGCGATCGCGCCCACCAAATTTGTTGACAAGGAACCATTTGGACAATCGTTGAGGATTCTTGTAGCTCATCTTTAATACGACGACTTCACCGTCAACTACCTACAAAGCGAACCTCTGTCGGAACCCTTGATCAACCAGCGACCTACCCGATACCGACACTGTGTCGTCATTTCTGGATACGTACCACCTTTGAGCCGTGCTCCAAGGGCCGGTCGGTCGGTCAACCCCCCCTTACAAACGATCCCAACGAGCGACGAGACAATGCGCTGAGCCTCCGGACGGAGACTACGTCGTGGATACGCATGCCGTTTCGATAAATCATACGCTTCCGATATATCTGTCTCTCCATTGAGAGTAGCTCCGATCCCCTCCGAACCCCGCGCATCTTCAACAAACAAGCTCTTGTCTAGAGGGGACCGGCTCGGGTCCCCTGGACAAATCTGCAATCATGCCGCCCGCCGGTGGAGGAAATATTAAGGTGGTAGTGAGATGTCGACCCTTTAACAGCAGAGGTAAGCGTTTTGCGCATGATTAGAAGCGACAACCAAGAGCGATACTGAAGTAGCGCAGAAATCGAGAGAAATGCACAATGTATTGTCGAAATGAAAGGGAACCAGACGGTGATTACCGCACCTGAAGGAAAAGGAGTGAAAGATTCAGGACCAAAGGCTTTTGCTTTTGATCGTTCCTACTGGTCATTCAACAAAGACGATCCAAATTATGCCGGCCAATCCAACCTGTTCGACGATCTGGGACAACCTCTTCTCGACAATGCCTTTGAGGGATACAACAACTGTATCTTTGCCTATGGTCAGACAGGTTCTGGAAAATCTTACTCTATGATGGGTTATGGAAAGGAAATTGGCATCGTCCCTATGATTTGTCAGGAAATTTTCAAGAGGATCGATGAGATTCAAAAGGATGGCAAAACCAAGTGCACAGTTGAAGTGTCCTACCTGGAGATCTATAACGAACGTGTACGCGATCTGCTTAACCCGTCAACCAAAGGTAACCTTAAGGTCCGAGAGCACCCTTCTACTGGTCCTTACGTCGAAGATCTCGCCAAGCTTGCAGTCAATGGATTCCAGGAGATCGAACATCTCATGGATGAAGGAAACAAGGCCCGAACAGTTGCCGCGACCAACATGAACCAGACCTCGAGTCGAAGTCACGCTGTCTTCACTCTAATGTTGACACAGAAGAAGATCGACACCGACACAAAAATGGCATTGGAAAAGGTCGCAAAAATCAGTCTGGTCGATTTGGCAGGCTCTGAACGAGCGAACTCTACTGGTGCGACTGGTGCGCGATTGAAGGAAGGTGCCGAAATTAACCGATCGCTGTCAACACTGGGTCGTGTTATTGCAGCATTGGCCGACCTGTCTACGCCTGGCAAGAAGAAAAAGGGCTCCGGACAAGTCCCGTACCGAGACAGTGTCTTGACGTGGTTGCTAAAGGACTCCTTGGGTGGTAACAGTCTGACGGCAATGATTGCTGCCGTTAGTCCTGCCGATATTAATTTTGACGAAACACTCAGTACTCTTCGATACGCCGATTCTGCGAAGCGAATCAAGAACCACGCTGTGGTCAACGAAGATGCCAACGCCCGTATGATCAGAGAATTGAAGGAGGAGCTGTCGTTATTACGAGGCAAACTCGGAGGAGGTGGAGGAGCTGTGGTCGCGGGGGAGACATACGCCGAAGGCACGCCTCTGGATCAACAGATGGTCAGCATCACTGGCCCCGACGGTGTTCTGAAGAAGGTCTCGAAGGCAGAGATCGCAGAACAGTTGAGCCAGAGTGAGAAGCTGTTGACAGACTTGAACCAGACATGGGAGGAGAAGCTGCTGAAGACTGAAGAAATCCACAAGGAACGTGAAGCAGCCCTCGAGGAACTCGGTGTCAGTATTGAGAAGGGTTTCGTGGGGTTGCACACTCCAAAGAAAATGCCCCATTTGGTCAACTTGTCAGACGATCCGCTTCTCGCAGAATGTTTGGTCTACAACCTCAAACCTGGTACCACAACAGTTGGTAATGTTGACACAAACGCCGATCATCAAGCGAACATCCGACTCAACGGTTCCAGAATCCTGCACGATCATTGTTCTTTTGAGAATGCACCGGATGGAACGGTGACCCTTACACCAAGCGAGGGCGCTTCAGTCATGATCAACGGAAAGCGCATCACTGAGCCATCACAACTACACTCTGGTTACCGTGTCATTCTTGGTGATTTCCATATCTTCCGATTCAACCATCCTATGGAAGCAAGGGCTGAACGGGCTGAGGGACCAGAGAGACCACAGAGCTTGCTTCGCCACTCAATCACTGCCAGCCAACTCCAAGCGCTTGATCGAGGCTCGCCTTCACCGAGTCCTCGTCCAGGCCACGAAAGATCGTTCAGCAGGGTATCCGAATTCGGCGACATCTCTAGACCAGAAACTCCTTCGATATTCCAAAGAAACAGCCGTGAGTCAGATTGGTCGCTTGCAAGGCGTGAGGCAGCTGGAGCAATCCTGGGCTCTGACCAGAACTTGACCAGCCTGAGCGATGAAGAGCTAAATGCTCTGTTCGAGGACGTGCAAAAGGCTAGAGCTGAACGAGTGAACGTCCGTGAAGACGGAGACGATTCAGACTCCTCTTATCCGATAAGGGAAAAGTATCTGTCGAACGGAACAATGGATAACTTCTCATTGGATACAGCCTTGACTATGCCCTCAACACCAAAGCAAGGTGAACCTGATGACAGGCTAAGAGAGGTCCGAGAAGAGCTTCAAAACAAGTTGGAGAAGCAGAAAGAGGAATATCAAGAACAGCTCAAGAGTGCCGAGGCTGCCAACGTTGAGATCGAAGAGATTAAACAAGAAAAGGTTAAAATGGAGGCTGCGTTGCAAGAGTTAAAGGAGGATATGCAGAAACAGCTTAACCAGCAGCGGAAGCAATTCGAAGAAAAGATGGAGAAGATGGATCCTTTGAAAATGCCCAAGAAGAGCCCAACTCTTTCTGATGAAGAAATCGAGACGGCCAAGAGGGTTATCAAGGCCTGGAGAGGTCGGCACTTTGTCAAGATGGCTGAAGCGGTGTTGCAAAACGCACCCATTCTCAAGGAAGCCCAAGTGATGAGTCACGAACTTGATGAGCATGTTGTTTTCCAGTTCGCAGCTGTAGATGTTGGCCACATCTTGTGTTCCTCTTATGATATGGTCCTCAACGGTCTTACCGGCGAGGGTGATGATGTTGCGCTGGAGGAAGCCCACAAGCCGTGTCTTGGCGTACGAGTTGTTGATTTCAAGCATAGCGTGGTTCATCTATGGAGTTTGGAAAAACTGCACGACCGCGTGCGGCAGATGCGACAAATGCACCAATATCTCGATCAACCAGAATATGCACAGCACCTTAGCCTCGACAACCCGTTCATCGAGAACTGCATGCCATCCTATACGCTTGTGGGCGAGGTCGATGTGCCGCTGAAGGCTGTCTTTGAGTGTCGGGTTCAGGATTCCACATTGGATGTCCTCTCACCCTATACATCCCATGTCGTTGGCATCATCAAGCTTTCGCTTGAGCCATCTCATGCTCGGGCACCGACCAACACCGTCAAGTTCAATGTTGTCATGCACGAACTTGTGGGTTTTGCTGAACGAGAAGGCACTGAGGTCCATGCACAACTCTTCATTCCTGGCATTTCTGAAGAGGATGGCATCACCACAACTCAAATGATCAAAGACTTTGACGAGGGGCCAATACGATTTGAGAGTGTTCATAGTATGAGCATTCCTTTGTTCGCCCCCAAAGACGTCACGTTGAGAGTCGCCATCTTCGCAAAGGTATCGACGATGCATCTCGATAAGCTGCTTAGTTGGGACGATATGAGAGATGCTGTGCCTATCAGGGAAGACAAAGCCAAAGCGTCACGGATCAATGAATCGCAGTTCTTCACCCAAGAAAAACACGATTTACTTTCTCGGATCCAGATCATGGAGCTTAATGAGAATGGCGAGTACGGTCCAGTGGAGGTTACACAGACTAGCGAGCTCGATACGGGAACCTACCAGCTTCACCAAGGCCTGCAAAGAAGGATCGGCATCAATATCTCTCACAGCTCTGGCGATGCTCTTCCGTGGGATGGCGTTACTGCCGTTCGCGTAGGCAAGGTCAGACTCGTTGACTCTGCGGGCAAAACACCTGACATGGGAGCTACCGAGCCTGATATCTCCTTGAAGCTGTCACAAAGCCCAATTTTCCGTGATAATGCTAACGGCACTAAAAGCCTGACGATATATTCCCAGTGGGACTCTAGTTTACATAACTCGCTACTCCTTGACCGAGTGACGCAGGACAAGTATCGAGTCCAAATGACTATCTCCTGGGAAATTAGTTCTGAGAAATTGGCCGAGCCGATGAAGTTCTCGCAAAAGGTTTGTGTGCAAATTTTATCAAGATCATATGTGCGCCAGACCTCGATGTTCTCGGCATTGTGGCAAAACGTCCGTTTCGTGCGGTCTTCAACTGGTATTTTCACTCTTGCCATGCGCCCTGCTCCTGTCAAGAAGGTTGGGGACTTGTGGCGACTGAACAGTCAGCACGATTATGTGAAGGGAGAAGAGAACCTGACAAGTTGGACACCACGCGGCGTGTCTTTGGTCAGTGATTTCCTGATGGCCCGCAAGAAGAAAAAGCGTGCTGCGGCCATGGAAGTCACCGAAGCTGTTCTGGCCAAACTGGGCTTGGATGCAGCCAGTACGACGTCTGAAAAGAAGGAACCTTCGCCCGAACCCTCTCCAGAGCTGAAGCCAATTATTCCCAGTGATGACGATCTGCTCAATGACACGCCAGAAAACTCGCAAACTCTGCTTGACGACGACGAACGGCCCGCAACAGACGCGCCTCAAGCTGGGCGTTCTGAAGAAACGCTACAGCTTGAGGCGGGTGGGTCTGAAACCGAAACAGAGCAACAGGAAGAAGCACAAACTGAGATCGATACTGTTGAGCGGGACGAGTCAGATGTGCCAGAGACGGAAGGGCTGGAGAAACAGCCCGAGGAAAATGGCGCAGAAGAAGTGGCACCAGAGAAATCAGATGCCACAAATGCCGAAGAGGGTGAAATTATTCAGGTCGAGGAACTGCCGTCACCACCACCAAAGCCGGAATATGACGAAGAACAAACAGATCTTTTGACAAAGTGCCTCAAACTTTGGAAGAAGTACCCTGATCCTTCGGACAAGATCCTCAGCTTGACGAACATGGCGCCGCCCGAAGATGGACTGACGACTGATGCCCCAGCGCAGCCTACACTTGTCGCAACAGTCATTAGGGTACCCAAGAACCCCAAGGTTCTGAAAGGCGGATATTTGATGATTCCCAACAGTGACTCGACCCGGTGGGTCAAGCGATTTGTCGAGTTAAGACGACCATATCTTCATCTGCATTCTGCTACAGATGGCGATGAGGTTGGACTGATAAGTTTGCGAAACTCTCGCATTGATAGCCAACCTGGGGTAATGGGCTTGCTCCAAGGGCCTGCTGACTCTGGGGCCCAGAACGGTCAAGAAGGACCCGACTTTACACCAGGACATCGACGAACTGGATCGGGTCGCGTTATATCTACCATCTGGACAGGCAGTGGGGGTAATGCCTCGTCAGGAGGTTCCGGCCTTCAGCGTCTTCCAGACCGTATGCAATCGGCAGTATTTGCCATTTACGGAACAGACAATACCTGGCTCTTCGCGGCAAGGAGCGAAAGGGATAAGATGGACTGGATCTTCCGGATCGACCAGACCTATCTCTCAGGCAATGACAGCATCCCTGGAAGCGGGATAGCCAGCCCGTATCCGGGTAGCGATTTCTAAAAGAGGATGGGCCTGTTATGAGAGTAATGACTTGCGATTTCCTCTCTTGGGGAATATGATTTTCTTTGTAACTATTTAATGGTGAATTAGATGAGATGACTTATACCCCCTGCAGGAGTAAGAGGGCACATCGACTATGTAGATTTATTTGCTTAGTTTGAAGTTTGGATATATCTTAGATAAAAGAGTCAATGAGAATCAATGGAGTATTTGTGCGCACTCTTTCCCCTCAGCATTGGTCAAACAGGGTTCTTTTCCGAGACTATATCGCTTAACAATTATCTTATAAGGTCTACGGATATGTTGTTCCTCACTCCAAAGAACAAGTATTCGGTTGGGTCACAAGCACATGCTTCTCAGCTGCAAGTCGCAGAGCTTGTGTGACACTGCAATACAGCATGATAGCACCGCGTAGCATGTAGTGAAACATGCATATCACAAAAGTTCAGAGCTGCGCAAGCGATGTTGTTTTTTGGGGACGGAGATGCCTTTTTTCAGTAGCACTGCTGCAGCTGCTAGTGTCTGTTGGTCACTCAGTCGCAGAACTGCATAAACTGGCCCAAGTGTCTCGCATGAATTGGAACAGAACATATCAGCCGAGCCCCCTGCATCCAATAAGGCTCTGCAAAGGTCTTGACTTGGCATGATGCCCAGGGATGGAAAAAGCACGGAAATGTTGGATTACTTTTTTGAAGTCTTTTGGTAGGCTCGCCCCGGAGATGGGGGGACTTTTGAGGTCAGACAATGTCAGGTTGTGTACCAGGTTTTGCAGAATGGGGTTTAGATGCTAAGACTGGGAGTAATTAAAATCACATGGAAAGAATGGATGAAGCAAATGAGGGGTTTCTGTTTGACCGGATGGATCTCATGTTTATCAGTTGACGTATGAAGCTGCAGCAATGACTGGGCTGTGACTATGGACAAAGTACGATACCAACTGCTTCGGTGCTTCATCAACATCGAGTTTTCACTTGTCTCCGAGCACTCGGATCCGTAGAATATGGAGACATGTCCTGTGATTGGAGTGCAGGTGAGAGGCACGAATACGGATATTGTAGAGCCGAAATCTTGTTCACGGTGAGAGATGAATGTGACGTGTCCCTTGGCTTCGGTGAAGTTTCAAAGACTTGCCGACTTGCCAGTTTTTGCTTTTTGATCAAGACCTCGCTAGCAGCAGCTAATAACAAGCCCAATGTGGCGGTTTGGTCATTGGCGTTGTTGAGGATAATGCAGAGTGACAGACCGAATTCCCGGAACCGATCAACGCCATGGAAGTTTAGTTGACTGTTACGATGGCACCGACTATTTAAGATCTAGCTAGACCGGTTGATACACCATACTATTCCCTTTATCGGCCTACCTTTTTTGACTTTTTACTCTGGAGTCTCGACCGGGTAAATCAAAGTTGCAAAGCGCACGAATTAACATACAGCCTGTTATTCACCGTCGTCCGTTTTCTGGTGCTGTTACAATGAGGCCCAGCACAGTGGGACATACAGACCCGGGGGACTCTGCCGGTTCGGTCAACAGAGGGCATACGGATACTGTAGAAAGCAGGCCCCGAGGGATCGGCAGAAGCGCATCTCCCGTGCTAGTCTACCTGTCAAGGACCAGGAAGGTTTGGCATGACAGGAATGAAGGGGGACTAATTTAAACTGCGGTAGGTGACCGACGGATGCGGTGAAAGCCAATTCAGTGTCTTGTGAAATTACGTCGAAACATGCATTGAGTTTGCTTTGAGGCTTATAGGCTTGACGTCGAATGCTGCAGCTAGAGTTGGTATGAAACGTGGCGATTTTGATAGTATATGTAGCTGAAGCCCTAGGAGACCGAGGTGCGTCAGTAGTTTTCTTATTATTATTTGCATTGCTAATGGATTTAATGTTAGTCTATACATATGTATGTATGCATTACTACGGCAGAAAAAGATTGAGTTTGTCTGTGTTTCAGATTTAAAGACAACTTTAATTACATGACTCGGAGTTGGGGGCGTGAGAGCAAGACAAGACTCAAGGGCTGAGGGATTGTATTGTCTGTACGTAACATTTTAGTCCAGATAGACGTGAATAACAATTACAAATGCTTTACTCTCTAGTTACGATGATAGTAAGAATTGACTTTAACTGGGCGTGTTTCAGAACATAGTAGCCTATCCGCAGACTCTATTTATTGGTGTCTCTGATCACCATCATCATTGTTACAACAAGTTGTCATCTTGACTTTTTAGTTTGACACTTTAGTATTTTTAGGAACTGAACAATCAGTCTAATGTTTAGATTTTACCGTATGTCGGATATTACACGCAAACAATGTCAAGGTGTATGCCTGTTCGACTGCCTGCCTATTTGCCTAGGTACCTGCCTCAGTTGGTGGATTCACCGTGTCGTGTTGTACCTTCCCTTCAATACAGGTTGAAAGGAGGGAAAGGCCGAAGGCTTGCATCTCCATTACTAATCTCCTCCTATTCAACATCTCTCCCTCTCCCTTACATATTCATCCCCATTGACGCGCTGTCATGTCATGCCCGGTCCTAATAACGTCACATGGTGCCTGCAAATGCAAGTCAGTTCTTCGGCGTTGACGTGGCCAAAGCCTCACGGCGCAATCTCCCGGGAGCCACCACATTAGGCGCCGGTTACCAAGGATAGTGCCTCCAAAACGCCTTTGCTTTGTTTTGTCAATTCCGCTTACCACACGGCCGAAATAACAAAACGACCAACAAAAGTTCTCTCAGGGAAGGGAGGGCAACTGCCGGGATATTCACACACTTTCCCATGAGCACGGATCATCGTTCCCAAGCCGTCGGAAAGTCGGTTGGGTTGGATTGGACTTCTACCGGTTGGTTGCACGCACTTGAACTTTGTCCGACCCAGGCCACCGGTTTTTGATCCCAGTTGTCAGGTTTGGTTCTTTAGCCCACCCACGCAACCGGGACCATTCGAAGGCCCCCCGTTGAATGAACGGGAATTATCTCCAACCCTATGCATCTCAAAAGGAACTGCCGTGTCCAATGACCTGCCAGTTTGCATAATTCGATACAGCACCAACACAAAGAAAGGTATAGTAACCGCCAGACAGACGTCGTTTTGTCCTTCGCTGCTCTGCTTTGCGTCGCATTGTATTGTTTACTCAGAATTGCTCCCTCGCTATAGTAAATCGCCAAGCGGGACAGACTATCTAGTCGGGCTCTATTCAGAGAATCGTGTATGCGTGTTTGTCTCTAGCTAGTGGAAAGCCACAGCATCTCCCTGGTGCCTCGACCTCGACATCTACTTTGACCTTGCAGCTCAACATATGCCACTGTATGTGTAGCATGTACCTACATCTGTTGACAAATGCTTTGACGTCGAGGCACAGACTCCCGGAATTCCTTTTTATGGTGGGGGTGTGAAACCCTTATTGCTAATTTGGTGCCGTCGTGCTACTCCAGGGTCCCAGCATCACAGCTATTCCCGACTGAATGGGTCGCCTCTTGTTCCGGCCGCTCTAGACTGGGGTAGTCGACACACCCAACACCCCCCCGTACCAATCTAATGCCACATCACTCACCAACAAGCGCCTGTTCCACTTACAGTTCTCTTTTGGTAGGGCTTTGTGGCTTTGCCAAGTAGCCCGAGAGCTAGATACCCGTCCCAAGCTGCTGGGTCCCTTTGCTCCTCGTCTCTTTGCTTTGGGCCAGCCAAGCTGCTGCTCTCGTCCTGTCCTTGGCCTTCAATCCTGACCGCATCCACTTCTCGAGCCTTGGTCGCACCAGGTGTCTGGGTCCCTTTCCTTTTCCTTCCTGCCGTATTCTGGGTCTTGCTCCCTTTCTGGTGGTGTTTCCAAAAGTGAGCGGGGATTCTATTCAAGCTTCTTGTCCTTCTCCATTTTCATATCTAGCTTGTATTTTCCCGTCTTCCATTCTAGCTTCTGTTTTACTCTCTACCTCGCTACTACTAAACTATCCTGGATGCCGCTTTAGGCGATCCTGCCAAAGACGTTTAAATCTCCATATTCCCCTCATTGTATTTGCATTCGCAACGACACCACCAACAACATTGCCTTCTTTTATTCCGTCTGTTCAAAACACTACACCCAAGCCCATTTCAACCTGTTATACTCGAATCTTACCATTGTATAACAAACAAATCCTTCTGATCCTAGACTCTTACTTATAATTTACAAAGCCTCTCGAGTTCCTTTCGACTCAAGTCAGTGTGTGGGTCGTTCGCCACCATCGTCGTCTCAGCATTCTCTCTCTGGTCTTAGTTCGACAGGTACCATTACTCGCTCCAGTGTGAGATTGTGTTACTTTATACAATTCCGGCGCAGAACCGCTTCCTGCGGTTGTCTGATGCTTCAGTCTTTTTTGTCGCATCGTCTCCGTTCACGTTTATAACAATCACCGTCTCATGGCTCATACCATTATGAGTAGACAAACTACCCAGTCACATAACAAAGAGAGCATGCCGGCCTCATCGCCTCCCAGCATCAACCACTTTCAATTCACTTTCAACTGTTCAGCTTCCAATTCCGGAGGAAATAGTTTCATCGAGCCAGACGTATGTTACTCTGTTTTCACTGTTTTTTAAGAGGGACTTGCTAACAGTTCACGTAGCCTGATGCACAGAACATGTAAGCTATAGACTTCTATCTGGCGATTCTCGCATCAAATCCAGCTAATAACGACAAAAAGAGACTCAGAGTCTCTGACAGACAGCGTACAGAATTTTCCCGAAGAATTCGGTCGCACCTATCACGCCTACCGGGCTGGTTGTAAGCTCAAGCAACCCATACTTCAGCATCGGTGCACTGACGCTTTACAGCATACGCATTTCCCAACGATGAACTAGAACGCGAACGTCTAGAACTGCAAAATGAGGCCCTGGTGAAGCTGTTCGGCGGACGTCTTTTCTTTGCGCCGCTGTCAGAAAGGGCCCCGCCTATGAATATACTGGATATAGCGACTGGAACCGGCGACTGGGCTATCAAGATGGGAGACTTATTTCCGCATTCAGAAGTTATTGCCACCGACCTTTCACCAATACAGCCTCGAAACGTACCACCGAATGTCAACTTTTTCGTCGAAGACTCGTACGTGCTTTCCACTCCAAACTGCCACTCCCGGTATCATTACTGACTATTCACCTTCTAGCTCCGAACCCTGGGACTACTCGCAACCTTTCGATTACATCCATACACGAGTTACCTCTGGGTGCTGGTCTAACTTTAAGGAGCAGATTGCGGACCAGGCCTTTGAAACTCTGAGACCAGGTGGCTGGTTCGAGTCTCAAGAGTATGATGCTAATGCCATGTGTGATGACGGAACTCTCATCCCAGACGGTCACTTTGCAACATGGTTTCGAGAAATCAACGAAGCTGCGGGATTGATGGGTCGACCAACAAATGTGGCTGCGACTCTTCGTGATTCATACGTCGAGGCGGGCTTTGTTGATGTCCAAGTGCGCATTTTCAAAATGCCCATGAACGGCTGGCCCAAAGATGAGCGTCTTAAAGAGCTTGGTCGAATGTGGGAAAGAAACTTCCTAATGGGGCTCAGTGGTTTCTCTTTTGCCCTCTTCAACCGTGTCTATGAGAGGACACCGGCGCAGATCGAGGTAAGTTCGTAACGGTGCACCCTAGTCCATACCCATAACTCACAGGCTATCTCGCAGGTTTCGCTGGTTGATGTCAGGCGGGAACTTATTGACACCCGAATCCACGCCTATATACCAATACACGTTGTAATCGGACGAAAGCCATTCCCCGGTGAAATATACACCCCAAGGGTGCCGTTCACATGAAGGACAAAGGAATTCGGAATCATACATACCTCCCGCTTGGATGAGATTAGCATGTCAAGGAAGCGGGACTAACCGACAACTGGGGCACATCAAGCTCATCATCGACCCGGCTGAAAGAATGAGATGCGAAGAGTTTCTCAACGGGCATTGGAGTTTGACTTGGCGATTACATACCCATGATACCCAAATAATGTGGAAACGATGCACATGACTAGAATAATATATTGTGTTCGCATTTATATACATGAAACCAGCTGGAAGCCAATCGATAGCTCTGGCTGTTGTGAACAGTTTTGTCGGACATGTTACAATGAACCTCAAGGCTTTCATGCAGCATCAGTGACCAAGACCAGCAAATGTTCACCATTCACTATGGTGTTCGAATGTCGTGCACTCCCTCAGTTTCGTAGAGAAGATGCGGTGGACATGATAGCCAGTCCACTGCTGATCTTACTCGGATCTTCTCACGAGCCACCCCAGTTCCCGGGCTTGTTCATCCTTTAACAACTCCTTGATACCTTGATGGGTCAGAAACGCGTGGTCTTCGTACTCGAAGCCAGGGACCACCGTCTCTGATATTAGAAGGCCATCGGTCTCTGGTCCATCCGTTTCATGACTCGGGTTCGATTCATTGGGTAGCAGATAGCTTGCCTTCCAGATGTCACCTTCGACAATCCATTGTAAGCGCTCCCCTCGCTCAACTGCGTTTCCAACAATAAATGACTCGATACGGCCGTCGGGATGAATGAGAACATAGCGACCCCTTCCACGATGCAGAGTGTGGATGACTCGGCTACGGTTGCGATGAAAGTTCCCCTGTGACTGGCGTGGTGTGAGAAGGTAGAAGATTGTGGTTGAGAGACGTCGTGTATTGATATTATATCCCTCACGAGTACCGCCAGTAAGAGCAACTGTCTGATCTGAAAGTGGTTTGGACGAGTAGGTCGACGGGATGGTCGTAGGGTCTGCGTCCGTCTGGCGGAAGTACCCTCCTTCGATGTGAAGCTCTAGTGAAAGTGCTTCGATAAGAGACTTGGATCGAGGATTCTCGGGCTCGGATGATGGTGAGAATGAGGGTTTTATGGTGCTCAAATCGAGCGTGCTGTCGATAAAGTCACCCATATTGACATTGATCGTCTTGCTACCGGATGAGAAGCCTTTGGAATACCAGCGAGAGAAGAGTTATCTGAGCTTGAAACAGATGAAGATGGTGTGGGATGCTTATATACCCATGGGTGGACGTGTTTAGGAGTGATTGATAAGCGCAGCACTAACATGAACTTACGTATTTGAGGGCGTGCAGTGAATAATACAATGCTCTTGCGAGAGGAGTGATTAAGTGAAGTGTTTGATAAGAATTCTCATGAAACGATACCCTTTTGGTGGTGAAGGGTCTTAGGGTGCTCAAAGAAGCTAGTATTGTGTTTGACAAGCAAGGATAGTGTAAGCTAGAGTCTGACCTCCAGCTTGGCGATAGTCGAATGAAAAGAGGATTAGATGGATGAGGAATTAGATGTGATAAATATTATCCGAGTTTGATTACGACGACTACTATTAGATGATGTAAGATATGCTCTAGGGCGAGCTATCGGCGTTGAAGGTGATCGATCCATCGCTTGGTGGTCAGGTCAGGTCCGCAGGTTCCGAGCCATACAGAATAAAAGAAGAATGAAAATATGATATCGCGTGATGAGCAAGCAGTTCATCCATAGCCAACTATTAGATCTCGTACTGGGAAAACGGCACGTGAAGGAGTCAAGTTGGTGATACTATCACGGAATCAACCGAAAGAACTAGTGGCACAACTCGACGACAAATCATTGCCGAATCGTAAGATATTTCAAAGGTAAAAGAGAAGCAAATAGCCATGTATATCGAGCTTAAGTTAATAGGCTTAATATTTGTCATTGTTGGTTTAATGATAGCTGGTTTCAATAGAGTGGAGGTTGAGTTCGTTGAAGTAGGTAGTCTGTATTGCATGAATACGGGTACGTAGGTACCTATCTATCCAGTGCTGTAGCCTGTAGCCCACTAAGCCTCAGCGGGTAAAACTGTCTCATGGTCCCCTGACAGTTCCCGATAGCGGGGGAGAGGCCCCGAGCATGACGCAAACGATGGAGCTTCAGTTCCATTCTAGCCACAACACCAAAAAGCATCACCAGACATAAGTAACTGCCCAATTGTCGAATTCCTGACCCTGTTTGCTTTTCAGCAGGCCTGCGCAGCAACTTGCTTTCCCCACCAAACATTGCGTCTCAACCGACCCTCTAAATCGACGGAAATCGTTCCGATCACCGACGCAGACAATGTCTGCCCCTCGCCTGTTCCGCCGTCCCGCCATTCTCCTCCTACCGTGCACTGTGACACTCTCTATACCTCGCCAAAGACTCTTCTCGCAATGCCGCTCTCGCCTTCAGCAGAATTCAGGAAGGGATATAGAAGAACGTCTACAAGCTGCGCGACCGCTCGTCTCTCACAATGCTGCGCGCAGGTTCACACAAGCAGGCAGTAGTCGCAATTCACGTATCACGGTCATCGCGACTGTTGTCGCAGCCATTGGCTTTTACTTTTACAACTCTCAGACGGTGCCTGTGACGGGGCGACGACGGTTTAACTTTCTTTCCGATTCTATGGTTGCTCGCGCGCATTCAAAGGCAGCTGCGCAGATCATTGAGCAAGTCAGGGCGCAGGGTGGGCATTTCTTGTCGGATTGGGATCCGAGGACGATTTTGGTCAAGAGGGTTATGAAAAGGCTGATTCCTGTGAGCGGAATGACGGATCTCAATTGGGAGATTTTCGTGATAGCCGATAGTCGTATGCTGCCCTTCATTATGACTAACTATTGACGAAATGCTGACAATTTTGGGATTAGGTACAGCTAATGCTTTTGTTCTTCCTGGTGGTAAGGTGTTTGTGCATAGTGGCATCATCAATGTCTGCCGAAGCGAAGATGCCCTTGCTGCGGTGCTTGGTCATGAGATAGCACACAACACAGCCTCGCATGCTTCAGAACGTCTTTCAGCTGCGTGGGTAGGAAACTTGACAGCGGGCAGTTTATTCTTTCTTGCTGGAGCACTTCCTGGTCTTGCGCTATTTGGACTATGGAATGTTGTAGGGGGATACTACTTGCAAGATCTGCTCTTCTACCTTCCCATGGGACGCAAGCAGGAGAGCGAGGCTGATTACATCGGATTGATGATGATGGCCGAAGCGTGTTATGATCCTAGGGCAGCTCTGGGCTTCTGGCAACGTATGGATGCTCTTCAGCACGCTAGTGGACAAGAGGCGCCAGAGATGCTGAGTACTCACCCCTCTGTAAGTATCCCTCATGATGATGGGAAGATCAATCAAACTGACGGAAGATAGAATGAGAACCGCATCACAAAGATTAGCGAGTGGTTACCACAGGCCATGGAGAAGCGGGAAGAAAGCGATTGCCGAGGAACAGCAGCATTTGCGGATCGTTTCCGTGATGCAATTCGAAGACGATCTACTACCGTCGTGGTATAATGAGATATAGTGGTCACGTATAAAGTAAACCAAACTTCCAGTGAAGATATATAGAACCTAGCTTGGCATCATAAGAACTACGCGTTTTGGGTAGAAGATGACGACGGCGTCATTCGAAAGAGTTTGATTTTGTTTGAGTAAGTATTTTACCAGACTTCATGTGCATAAATGATTTACTAGTTCATATTTTAACTTATAAAAGAATTATTGATATCAATGCCCATTCCTGATGACGCCGAGGTTCTTCTTACAATTACCTTGATTTGATAGGCTTGAGCTCCCCCGCCTAGCGGCTCTCTAGTGGATTTCCCCAGGCTCTCCCCCAGCCCCAAGTCTTCTGTAATAGATAAAAGTGCTGCTCGTGACCGTGAACCGAGGCAAAGTCCCCCCCACTTGCCGGGGAGCGTCTCCGGGAAGAACTCCTTGTTTTCTTTCCCAGCTTTCCTTGTCTCTATCTTTTCAGACTTATCAAACTCATATTTACGATACGCTTTCTTCATCTTCTCTCACAAGTTACTAAACTATATCCTCAAGACCAATCTCATCTACTTCATCATCATGGGCGAGACATACACTACCGCCGAGGTCCAAAAGCACAAGGACGAGGCCAACGGCTTCTGGCTTATTGTTGAGAATGACGTTTACGACGTTACAAGTACGACAATCCTCTAACCCATAGCTAAGAGTTATCTCATATTAATTCATCTGCAGACTTCATCGATGAACACCCCGGCGGCGCCAAGATCCTGAAGCGTTGGTCTGGAAAGAATGCCACAAAGGCTTTCTGGAAGTATCACAATGAGGGCGTCCTGAAGAAGTACGGAAAAGACCTCAAGATTGGTGCTGTTGGCGAGAGTGCCAAGCTATAAGTCCTTCTCTCTGCTGGCCTCTTGGGTTTCATTTGACATCTGAATCGGCTGCAATGCTTTGTTAATTTTGGCTGTATTTATTCTGATTTGTTTGTACGGCATGGCGTATACCATATATTGGATAGGGAAACTTGACAGGTGGATTTGCAATAGATTGGAAGAGCATCTTGACCTGGAGCCAGTGATGGGTGACTCAATACACTTTCTATAGACCGAATCTTGACAAAGAAATATTGTGTTTGTAAACTACAAACAATATGCATTTATCTAAACCTTTTGATGTTCGCATCTTCGTACCAGGTTCTTATCGCAGCGTGGACACCTTCCAAAACGGTACCCTTGGAGATGGACACGATTGTGACAAATCAGCACTATTAAATCCTTCGCTCCCGACTACATCAACTAACGTTAGGACACCGCGATTTGCGGCTTAAGCGGCAATTTCAAGCGGGGAGTTATAAAGGGAAGTCTTAGATTAAATGTCAGTCAGTATTGCCAAGAATACATATAAAAAGGAGAGTTTCAATAACATCGCAACTATCCTCCAAGCAAAAATGAGTGACTTATTCAATCTTGAAGTTCAAAAGGCTCGTCTGTCCCGTCGACAGGGCCCTGAGCCTGGTTCCGCTCCAGCTCCCACTCTACCAAAGGCTTCTGCCATTCAAACAGCTGAAGCCAAACTCCCGCGTCCAGACTCGGAAGGTTATCTTCAAGGCATCTCACAGGAAGACGTTGTGCGCCATATTACTGAGGACATTGCTCCTGCTTGCAACGGCCAAGGCAGCTCATCTCGATACTATGGCTTCGTCACAGGAGGTACTCTGCCTATTGCTGAATGGGCAGACAACGTAGTCACTCGAATGGACCAGAACGTGCAGGTTCATCTGCCAGCGCAGACTATTGCTACGACACTGGAGGATTCGGCGCTTGAGATGCTTGTTTCCCTCCTCAACCTCGGCGATTGGAAGGGTCGGACTTTCACAACCGGAGCTACCGGCAGCAATGTCCTAGGACTTGCATGCGGCCGGGAGGCCATCTTGGAAAAGCGAGGACAAAGCGTCGGCGAAGTTGGCTTGCTTGCGGCATGTCTTTCAGCTGGTGTCAAGGAGCTCCGGATCCTCACAAGTGCAGGCCACAGCTCTTTGTCCAAGGCTGCCAGTATCATCGGTTTCGGTCGGGGTTCCGTAAAGGAACTGAGACTTAGTGAGAGTGAGCCATGGAGGCTAGATCTTGAAGCTTTGGAGAAGGAGCTTCAGAAGAGCGACGTGGCTAGTGTGATTGCCCTGAGTGCTGGCGAAGTCAACACGGGTCGTTATGCCTTGACAGGCGTTGAGGAGATGCGCAAAGTGAGGGAATTGGCGGATAAGTATGGAGCTTGGATCCATGTTGATGGAGGTAAGACTCTTTCAGTTGCTTCTTGATATGGCCAATACTGATATGCTTAGCTTTTGGCATCTTTGCTCGTGTTCTTCCCGAGCATGACGATTACAAGACTCTTCACAAGCGTGTAGAGGGTATTGAGCTGGCGGATAGCATCACTGTTGATGGCCACAAGATTCTCAATGTCGTAAGTACTCCACACCCTTGAACTATCCGCCTTCGGTCTGACATGATATGCAGCCCTACGATTGTGGCATGTTCTTCACTCGATCACCCGCCATTCTCCAGTCCGTCTTCACAAACCCCAACGCAGCATACCTTTCAGGCGGCGCATCCACCATCCCCTCGCCTCTCAACATCGGCCTTGAAAACTCACGCCGATTCCGTGCTCTTCCAGCCTATGCCGTTCTTCTCAGCGAAGGCCGCCCAGGAATGGCAAAACTAATTGGCAACATGATCGCTCTGTCCCGTCAAGTTTCCGCTTTCCTCCGGGATTCAGAACACTACGAGCTACTCCCTAATGATGGAGCTGGCTTGGATGAGATTTTCATGATTGTTTTATTCCGTGCTAAGGATCCCAAATTGAACGAAATCTTGGTGCAGAAAATTAATGAGACGAGACAGATGTATGTGAGCGGCACGAGTTGGAAGGGCGAGAAGGCAGTGCGTGTGGCTATATCCAACTGGATGGTGGATGTGGACAATGACTTCAAGGTGGTGAGTTCTATTTTGACTCACGTGGCTGAGGGTAAAGAGTTCAACATCGAGGATTGTTAGGATAGGGGCGCGAGTGGAAAACGGAGCGCAACATCATTGTAGCCTTTGTAGGCCAGCAGAAATGCGATGCTGCAGAGATTCGAAGTGCTTTATTTAGGCCGACAGGGCCATATCTATGTGTTTGTATTAAGTTGACAAGTCACAGTGTTGTAACAAAGACAAGTTTCCTCTATGTGAAACTTTCAGGGGCCCTTCTCGTTGGATCCAACATGCATATCCGAATCGGATTAGCAATATCTTGCTCGGAAATCTTCGCCCAACATATGATCCTTGACTTGATGCCTTCTGCAGATACCTTCATACTACCAACACATCCAGTGCAAATGCAGTGTAAAAACCAGTGCCGTACGCGGCAGATACCCATGTTGACGGTACCCCATTCTCCTACATCTTATAAGGCGATGATAGACGAGGTCTCCATGTCTCCAGGCATCATCAGGTGGGCTGACAAGTCTGGAATCGCGGCGCAACAGTTAGCCAGACCTTCTCAGTTTATGATCGCCTGACAAATCCGAAAAGCAGTTACGATCGATTTAAAGAATCAAGAGGATCGGATTCTCAAAAATTTGGGACAGGTAGTTGGAACAAAACCCAACTTGAAGGCTGCGGATCGAGTGCGATGAAATAAAATTGGTATTTATGGCTTGGAACTGTGACTTCCAGATCGCACAGCACTGGTTTTCGAACTTGCAAAATGCAAAAACGAAGAGTGGCCGAGGGAGAGAGGTTTTTTTTAGGTTTTTTTTAGGTTTTTTTAGGAGCGGATTTTAGAGAGGTTTGTAGGTTTGTAGGTAGGTACCGCTCGGCCACTCTTCGTTAAAGGTATGACAGCAATTCCGATATATATGTGCCATGCCGGAAAGTGCACTGTCGACGTTTTGAAAAGAGAGCGCGCAACAACCATGGCAATACGTCCCCAGCAGTGCAACAGCAACTCTCTGACATGGACATAAGTTGCCTGATTACTGTTGCATTGCTGGGGCCGTACTGCATTGCACAGCCAGATATTAATGCGTTACATGGGGTTCATCGCGACTGCAAAAAGAGACGGACGATGTTGTCTGGTTCCGAACTTGAAAATGGCAAAAGACTAGGAGCGGTCGAATGGGGAGAGAGGTTTTAGGTTCGGATTGTTTGAGAGTTTTTAGGATATTGGGTAGCGGATCCCACTCGACCACTCCTTATCGAAAGTAAAGAGAGCAAATTCGGTATTTAAGCCCCAGCTGCGAGGGCTATGGTCGGCGCGTATTCGTGGTGAAGAATAAGTGAAGTGACAAAAAATCCAGCGCTCCCGGTAAAAATTCGATCGTCGTCGTCCGCTCCCTATAATCCTCCAACATCCAATTTAACCAAACTTCTTTGAACCACCCTTTGTTGTTGTCCTCTTATCCTTCTTCTTGTTTTCTTCCTTCTTCTTCTTCTGTCCGAGCAACTCGAGATGTCCCGCGCGCTCACTTAGGAGCTTTTCGGTTTGCGCTGTCATGCCGCTTGTGAACTTCCTGTGGACCTTATCGACGTTCTTCTTTGTCTGCTTGGGCTTGTGCACCTTGGATGCTTGGCGCTTAGAGTGTACGATCTTGGCGGGGGCCACCCGGCCAAGGTTTTTGACTGTGCCTTGGGCCATTTTGGCGACGAGTTGTTGATCGTGGATGTGTATGTGGTGGGTGGTGAGGAAAGATTGGAGGAGTGAAGTTTAGGATGGGAAGGGTTGGTGGGGAAAAATAAAAATCAAGGTGAGTTTAGCGGGGCTTTCGTTCACCGAGCCTCCACCACGGTAAGGACCCTGGGATCCTCAAGTGAATGTATGACTGGCCAGGCTTTTGTAGTGTAGAACAGTTAGGTTTAGTGACAAGATGCGAAATAACTTAGCTTTTCATTGCTCCATGCCAAACTAGATCTTGAAGCTGCGATTTCCCGATAAAACCGCTTATATCTCTTGATTACCTGCAAATCAAGCCAAATGGATTGTCTCGTGAATCCAACAGACAGTAAATTATATAAGTTTCTATCAACATGCTATTGAAGCCCTTGGGTGGTATCCTGGGGTTTTCTCAAATTAATTATGTGAACAACTATGGGGAAAGTATGTTTTATTATAAGCTCAAGCTTGACAACACGAGCCACGCCTTACCAGCCATCGCCCCAACCATCATCGTCATCCGCCTCCTTTGGCTTCATATCAATCTTCTTCGCTACGACTGGTTTTGCAGCAGGCTTGGTTATAGGCTTCTTGGCCGCCGAAGACTTTGATAAACCCTTCGGTAAGGGTTTGGCGTTACCTGACTTCTTTTGTGACTGTGCAGCCAACCAGCCCGCAAAATCAGGCTCTCCGTCTTCGAAAGGGGTGGCAGATGCAGTTGTGGCTGCGGGCTGCTTTGAAGACTGCTCAGGAGTACCGAAACTGTCAAAGTCATCGTTCATGTCGCCCCAAGAATCCCCGGCATCATCACCGTCATCTGCAGGCAAGAAAGAATCGGCTACCACGCTTGCTGTATGTGACGAGTTGCGCGATAGGGGTGCTGGGGGCGACTTCACGGCTTGGCGGTGCAGTGACGAGGCAGTGCCAGTCGTTGGCTTCTTGGGCTCGGAGCCAGCTGAAGTAGTTGGCCCTGGTGAAGCAGTACGGGATTCCGACTCTGCATGAATTTCACCTGCAGCCGCAGATATCTTGTTCGTAAAAGAGGAGATTGCCCACCCTGCCCAGCCACCCGCGCTGTTTTCGTTTGGCTGAGGCGTGCCCATTCGCGGGGCCGCACCATCAGCAGTCTGCGGAGGAGGCAGGACTGTGTCAGGCATGGACGAAGCCGCTTTCTTGATCTTCTGAAGATACACCTCCATAGTGCGGACCGCCGAATCACGGATAATTTTCTCCTTGTCAATCAATACAGGAGAGATCACAGGCAAAATTCTGCAAGCCGCATCCTCGTCCGTAAAGTACTCTGCAGTGGCCCCCAAAGCCATCAAGGAGGCATTCCTGGCATGTACGAAGGGATCTCTTAGTGACCTCGTGAAAGCAGCTATAAGAACCTTAGACCGTGATGAAGTACCGAGGTGCTTGGCGATCTTTCCCAAGCAGATAGTTGTGTTGGTACGAATACCAGGCTGCTCGTCATTCGCTGTTCTCGCTAGCTGTTTGAGGAGGTCGCCATTGATTGTGCGGTCAGAGAGTTTTGTGATAATAACAAGCACCGACTTAAGAGTCTGCTCCCTTACTACAGGTGTTACGTCGGTGAAACCGGTAATCTTTAGTTGTCAGCTTTGCTTCTTGAACCAACGACGAAGGACATACTAATTGTGGGAAGATCTTGTCGTTGACGATCTTTTGTGAAAGCTGATCAATCATCAAAGGAAGGCTGTCTAGCAAACACACCCGGATGGCTCGATCAGGGTTTCCAAATAGGCGGATGATGAAGGGCGTTATCTTGGAGTCAAAGTCTTCCTTAGAAAGCTTGGACGCAATCTTTAGAACTACAGAGACAGCTCTAGGACCACCACCACCAAATTCGGCCGACTTCATCAACTCTGGCATTACCTTGAGTTTGAAGAATTCTTCTGGGAAGTCATCACTGATTTCGTCTAGACCTCTATTGAGCACATTAGTAACTGGACTGAATCTTGCATGTCGAGGACGTACGCAAGAAACTCTTCTCGTTCATCTGGTGTCTTGATATCCAGGTTATCGATACCCTCGGTTAATTTGATTAGAGAACTGTCGAAGAAAGATCCGCTTCTATTTCCTTGGTCGAGAAAAGCGCCCACGCTGATTCGAGCCTTGGGGTTGGTGTTACACAGGCGCTTGTAACTGGATTGCATTGAAGGAGGAACATTCTTGGTCTGGCCAGCCTGGTCAGCTGCGATGTACTCTCCGTTGAAAACCTCGAATATCAAGGTTCCAAGGTTGAATGCGTCGACTGCTGTATGAGGATTCTTCTTGATAACGTCCCATCCACCCTTGGCCAACTCAGGGGGAGTATATCTTGCAGCATCGGGGACCAAGCTTCCGTATGTCTGGTATATCGATTAGCCCCAGTATTACACTGCAAATTGGGACAGCTTCTTACGTATATGATGGATTCGTCATCCTTGAGGCTGCTGAAAACGTCGAATCCGCCCAACTTCCACTCGCCACTCTCTGAAGTATAGATCGATCCGACCTTGATGCTTCCGTGAATAGAAGAAGCGTCGTCGTTGATGAATTTTAATGTGCGCTGCGTATAATTAGCACTTGTTTGGTGATTCGGCATATGGGTAGCCATACTGCAACGCTATGAAGACCCCATTTTATCGTCTCAGGGCTGAGACTCTTTCTTCGAACGTCCCATCGTAAGGGCACCACCCGTTCGGTCGCGATATAGATGTATGTTTCCGTCTAGCAAGTATTGTCAGCGCGATGCGCCAAGTATGGTTATGTTCGCGAGTATACCTCAACAGCGTCTAGGACTTTGATTACGCCCGGGTGTCGTAATGTTCGGAGCTTCTTTAGAGCATTCTTGGCTAGGGGGAGTTGGGATCGATTGGTAGTGATATCGAACGAAAAGATGCTGCAGTTCGACCCGTCTTCCTATTCATCAGGTGTCAGTAAGGGTATACCACGTAGTGCGATGCGCTGTTAAGCTTACTCTCTTGGTACCGTTGTACAATGTCCAAATGGACTCGTCGATATCGACCTTGTCGCCAAAATTGTAGGGGAATGGAGGACCTTGTGCGATGGCCGATGCCACAGCAGACTTGAGAAAGTTCATCCCAGGATCGCAAGTATTGAGTAAGGGTATATGGAAGTAGTTGGTTAAGCTTGTTGCAGGTTGACTTATATACAAACAAAAACGCTAGGTGTAGACGATTATATTGGGTGTGAGTCGCAACGTGGTTATTGGCGTTCGACGTCAGGGAGTTAACGTCCCCGCGCTAGCGCCCAATAAGTTTAGGAGCTGTCTGGCTATCTACAGGCGGAACAGCCCGAATGGAGGGGCATTCAGCTTTACCTAATCCTACATTTAGTACATTGAAGATACACAGTCACTCATGTCCATTATAAAGTTTAAACGGTAGTCAATTTAGTAGTAAGTTAGTCAATGCATGCCTAGGATGAAAAAATACCATGATATGGGTAGTAGTTAGTGAGTTGTCTTTTGAAGAAGGGCTCCATATCTACTCATATGCTATATCAACAATACTGGGTATCTAAAGACCCACGTTAATCGGGCTACTACAGTGGTGGCTCCGAGGCGGAATAATTAGTGTTCCAGGCGAGTTACTAAAGATAATTTGCAGTGACCGTGGGGGGGTTCATGCCACTGCCAGCACTCAATCCACCATTCACGAGCTTGGACCAGCCGCCTTCAATGTCAACGCGGTTGGTCCCTTGCTTGAATCACCGTCATTTGAAGCCTACCTCTTTTTACTACTAATTTCTTTGTCTTCTATTGTTCATCTTCAAGATGCCTATTTCGACTTAGTCGGTGATAGAGGCAGAAAGAGAATCGCACATTTTTCAACACGGACCTGAAAGGACAGGAGCCTATCCGTAGTCTGAGCGCGTTTTCTAGCGCTCATTCGACTCCTAACTTTTTCGCAAACTAACTTGGCCTTTGATTACCTCTACTATTTCTCCTCCTTTAATATCGAATTATACACACCTACCAACCTACATGCTGTGCCACGACACGCGCATATTTTGTTCGCGCGCACAGCATAGCTCTTAACGCGGGTGCAATAAACTTCCTTGATCACACGGAGTAGATGCTCATAGACTTAGGTATGTCATAGCCATTCCTCATGCCCTCACCTCCTCCTACCCCATGTCGAATGATGCCCATGGTAAAAGGTCTGACTGAACGGAACCCTTCTGGTCGCACTAACTCTTCTCTGAACTCGTTCATGACACTGTTGTCTTAATCAACCTTGTCATTATATATCGCGCCCCAAGCTCAAAAGCTCTCTTGCATTCCACCCTTGTTCGTAGAGTGCTGGGGCCGTTAACATTAGAGCTTCTTCAGTCGCAACATGGAGTCCTCTTCCTCGTCTCTGCCACGGATCTTGACCAAAGGCCGCGACTGACAGCAGGTATCCTGCAATGACACGGTTCAGAGAAGAGATGGTAGCAGCCGCTGGGTGCCTAGCTTGACGGCCATTCAAAACTGAAAAGATCTGACTCGACTCTCGATTCAACATTTACTTTGCTTGCGCATCGCAATACACAAATCTAACTTGCACAACTCACAGAAAATATCAATATATGAATCTCGTGACTCAAGCGAGTCGCAAAACCTTGCGCATGGTGAAATATACCTAATACGGCTCGATCCATCAAAGTGATACTCGATGAATCCTACTCCCCGTATAGGCGGCACCTGCGCAGCTCCCGACTGTTATAATACTGTCTTATTCAGCTCAACGACATTCTGCACACAACATCAACTAGCTGCACAGGCGACTTTAACTGATAAAGGACACCATGCAGCAAGTCGATTGGAGAAATCTCGACCATCAGGCAGGGTTTTGGCCGCGAGAAGGGGCCGCCAACCCTGGAGCGCTGTTTCGCGGAACCCAGTCAGACGCCAAGAACCTCCTCGCGAATCTTCTCGTAAATCCCCCAGTACCAGAGGCGATACCCAAGCTAGACAGCCAAACGTTACGCGATCGGAGAATATAGAGACCTCTACACAGTTGTCGCCAGGGCGTTCAGATGACAAACGGGAGAAGGATCACTCAACCCGAGGGCGGAAGGTGGACAATGCAGACAATAACCGGTTGAGTGAAAAGAGTATCCTGAAAGACCGGTCCACAATCGAAAGTTCAGCAAGGACTGCGAAGAAAGCCGCCCCTACTATAATAATTTTGTCGGATCCCTCGAGTTCACCAGCACTCCCCAGCCCTACAATAGAAAAAACAGCCAACACACCACGCGAACATGCTGTCGCTGAAAAGGCAAGGCTGTCGGCAACATATATGGAACCGCGTGTTCAGTCTCCACGGAAACCAAAGCTGGATACGAAGAGTAGTGGGCATGTCCCCTTGTCACCCTATTCTGAAATTTCAATTCCAATTCCGACAGAAAAGGAGTCACTGGAGCATCTACTGAAAAAGTTGAAACCTGCAATCGCTAGTGAGCTAAAGCGTTCGCTGGAGCTCAGCTCGCCAACAAAAAAATTGTCCCAAGTCTCCACGAGGACAAGCAGGCCACGAGAAGTGACCTCAGGATCAAAACATCTGGAGAAGGCACTGCCAAAGAAGGCATCGTCTAGAAAGGCCACACCAGAAAAGGAACGCCCTTCACCAGATATGCTACTGCCTAAAATGCACGCCAAAATTGACAATGAAGTAAACATGGCTGGTACAAGTGATGTTTCGGATGGAGCAGTGGCTCAGTCGATACAAGAAGCATTGTCGTCATTGAGGACCAAACGAGGTATGGATAGGAAGAACTCGCTGGCCACTTTTGACTCAGTCGCATTTGACTCGATCATCTACCGACAATCTCGCTTGCGTCCACCTCCTGGCGTCAGCTTGTCTACTCGCATTGTCAAGGGCGGTTCAATGTCACGTAATGGTGACTACGTCTATCTCCCCGTGAACCCAGCAATCCACGGAATGCACAAGAGGTCTCAGCGTTGGTATAAGGAGAAATCCGAAGAGATCAAAAGATGTCCCAGTCGAAAGGCCTGGTTCGGTAAAGTCGAGGCAAGGCAACGTTGGTTACGTGCTGAGGAAGAAAAGTTGGAAAGAAGCCGCCAACAAGCTCAGCATGACGGAACCATGCCTCCTTTCGAACCGCCCAAACCACGATCTGTCAGGCAGATCCTTGACTTTGGAGATGTGCCCGAAGACGAGCTACCCGAGCATGTTCGTAGTAACCCCGCATGGTTAAAAACCTGCGCTTGGTTCCGAATGTGCGAGGAACAAGTGGCTCAATACCAGCGTAAAATTGATAAATCTAAAGAGGAAGCTGAGCTCTTTAAGAACAATTGCAACGCAGGTTAATGATAATGCTTGATGAGCTTATATGAAAAGGGTCCATTCCGACGAAAACTTCCAAATCTGGAAGAGTTTCTCGGGCGTACAACAGAAGCGAATGGCCATACTGTATATATACATCCCTTGTTGATAACATAGTTGATACCATAGTTGATAATATAGTGTGTGAATCTCATGAGAGGAGGCAATGAATTTGAAGGTCACATGACCGCATTCATACCGAGCCTTTGGTTTCGGGCCTCTACTTTTCTTGTGGGAGGAACATTAATGAAATATTTTTCTTCAACATTCAATATGCGCGGACAGATTAACCTGACTGTTGGGAATGTCGAGAGAATTGAAAAAGCTCGGGCTTTAACTGAGGGTTAAAAAATATATATAATACACGCAAAGAGAAATTCGTCACATATAAACGATTTACAAGTAAGTGGTTCAATCAACATAAACATATCAACTTTCGTTGCCGAGTTTCAACTAGGGAGGTCACATCGAACACAGCCGGATAAACGTATCGTTCATTTGAATCATTACGAAATAGCTGGAAAACAAGAATGACTACTGGTATTGCTTGTTGGTATATACAATCTATCGCTTGGACATTTTTCACCCATCCAATAAACGCCCCTTTTTCTCTTTGCCCTGACCTCCCTAAAGGCCATTAAATACTTCACGTGTCAAATCAGAATATGAACAGATTTTTTACAGTGACAGCATGTATACATAATCAAGTTTGGTGATCGGTGCTCAACTTAGATGCCCTTGGACAGCAAGTTAAGGGCACTGCCAGCGAGAATGAAGCCAGCCTGGTCCTTGGTGACGGCGTGCTTGGTGGGGATGAAGACCTCCTCGCCAGAAGACTTGGTGACACGGAGTTTAACATCACCCTTGCCGCCGTTTTGAAGCATCTCGTAGAGACCGACAGTGGCAACCTCGTCACCAGCGGCGATCTTGTCGTAGTCAGCCTCGTTCGCGAAAGTCAGAGGGACAACACCCTGCTTCTTGAGGTTGGTCTCGTGAATACGGGCAAAGGACTTGGTCAGAACAACACGGGCACCGAGGTAGCGAGGCTGCAGAGCAGCGTGCTCACGGGCAGAACCCTCGCCGTAGTTGTGCTCGGCGACAACCAGCCACTCCTGGCCGCGATCCTTCCAGACCTGACCAAGTTCGGGAATGGTGTGCTTGGAGCCATCAAGATCGTAAGCGGTATTGACTTCGCCAGTCTCCTTGTTGATGGCGGTGTTGAGAGTGTTGGTACTGATGTTGGGCAGATGACCCTTGTACTTAAGCCAGGGGCCGGCGGCAGAGATGGTATCAGTGGTGCACTTTCCGGTGACCTTGACGAGGACGCGGAGGCCTGAAAGGTCGGATGAGGGGAAAGGAGGGAAAGGTTCAAGGAAGGCCAGACGCTCAGAGGTAGGAGAGATGGCGATCTTGGTGTTAGGGTCAGGCTCCTGAGACAGGACGCCCAACTCAGCGTTGCCAGACTCGAAGGGGGTCTGAGGACCCTCAAGGCCGTGAGGTGGGGAGAACTTGAAGTCCTTGCCATCAGGCGTCTTGATGCTGTCGGTCACAGGGTTGAAGGTAGTAGATCCAGCGAAAGCCATGGCAGTAACGATCTCGGGGGAGGCGAGGAAGTTCATGGTATCGGGGTTACCATCGTTACGACCACGGAAGTTTCGGTTGTACGAGGTCAAGATAGCGTTGCTGGTGCCCTTCTCAACACCATCCTGTCGCTTCCACTGACCGATACAGGGGCCACAAGCGTTGGAAAGAACAATACCACCGGCCTTCTGGAAAGTCTCAAGGGTACCGTCACGCTCGAGAGTGGCGCGAATCTGCTCACTTCCAGGGGTGATATAGAAGTCAGCAGCAGGCTTGAGGCCTGCATCCTGGGCCTCCTTGAGCAAACTCTCGACTCGGGTCATATCCTCATAGGAACTGTTGGTGCAGCTACCAATGAGACCGGCAGAGAGGACTTGAGGCCACTCCTGCTCCTTAACAACCTCCTTGAACTTGGACAGGGGTGTAGCCAGATCAGGAGTGAAAGGTCCGTTGATGTGAGGCTCGAGAGTAGAGAGATCAATGACGATGTGGTCGTCGTACTCGGCACCCTCATCGGCCTTGAATTGCCATCGGGAATCAGGGTCAAGGCTGTTGCCGGCAAAGCTCTCGAGAGCCTCGATGTTCTTGTTGGCCTGCGATCGTCGAGTCGAGTCAAGGTATCTTGCTGAGGCCTTGGTGTACGGGAAGATTGAAGTAGTGGCACCGACTTCGGCTCTAAATAACAAGTTAGCATACGAAACAAGATTCAAACATTCAACGTTGAACTTACCCCATGTTACAGATGGTAGCCATACCAGTGGCGCTGAGGCTGTCAACACCCTCGCCAAAGTACTCAATGATGGAACCTGTACCACCACGGACAGTAAGATGACCAGCAAGGCGGAGAATGACATCCTTGGGAGAAGCCCAGTTGCTCAGCTTGCCAACAAGGTGCACACCGAGAACCTTGGGAGCTTTGAGTTCCCAAGGAGCACCAACAAGAGCCTCAACAGCATCAGCACCGCCGACACCGATAGTGATTGTAGAAAGACCACCGGCGTTGGGGCTGTGAGAGTCGGTTCCGAGCATCATCAATCCAGGAAGAGCGTAGTTCTCGAGGACAGTCTGATGAATGATACCAGCGCCAGGAGGCCAAAAGTCCATTCCGTACTTGCGAGCAGCAGACTCGAGGAAGTCAAACACCTCCTTGTTAGTCTGAATACCGGCAGACAAATCGTCCTCAGCACCCTTGGATCCGACAATCAAGTGGTCACAGTGAATGCTTGCGGGAATAGCAGGCTTGGCGAGGTTGCAAGACATGAACTGGAGGATAGCCATCTGAGCAGAGGCGTCCTGCATGTTCACCCGGTCGGGGTTGAGACGCAGGTTAGCCTTGCCACGAATGTCTCGTCCATTTCTGGTACCACTAAGCAGCGACTCCTCGGGGTTGTCAAGATGGCTGTAAAGGATCTTCTCAGCAAGTGTAAGGCGCTGCTTACCGAGCACACGACGAACATCAGTGTACTTGGTGTAAAGCTTCTCGTAGGTGGGAGGAAGAGACTTGGCGGTAGAGAAGTTTCTCCTTGAGTTCTTGTTGGAAGAGAGAGCAGCAGTCGATCGAATAGTGTTGGGACCAGAGCGTCGCAAGAGTTGCTGTACAAGTCAAGGGTCAGTCATGGTGGTTCCTCGTCGATGGCTATTACACAGAAGTGTCCAATTGAGGTAGAAATTGTGATTGAGATTACAACTTACTGTCATGGCACCGCCTGAGCGGCTGACAACCTCCGTTGAAACCATGATGGGCGATACACGGTGATTGAAGAATAACTGTTCGGGTTCTCCTTCCAATGTCGAGATTGTGGTTCCCTTGCAATCGGTGGAGGCGAAATCGGGGCGGAAATTTTAACAATTGTAAATTCCCGGGACCGGATTGGAGATTGATTTTGGATCCGGGGGATGTGGGGCATCCTGGTCCGAACACCGGCGGGGAAGCGTCTAAGTTATCCGCTAACTCATTTCAATAGTGAAGATAGGATATGAAATGCAGTAAAAGGCCGAGGAAAATATGAATTATCTATCATACACATATAGTGTTCATCTTTAGAGCATTAATTACAGCTTGCTCATTCTTCCATTACCAAAAGGCGCCGTCCATTCGCCTAACCAGAGTCGTCGGCCAAAGCAACCGATCATCATTCTTGTTCAAATACATGCCTTCTAGTACGAGACAACTCCATCTGCGTCTTCTAGCCAAAGCGCTGCCAGGTCCTTTGCCAATCCCAATCGCAATTTTCGTAGGACGTCCTCGCCCTTGCTTGATGCAAGCCAACCCTTCCTCCAATCCCATCCCCTGTTCACCTTTGCGCCAGCAGAGATTGACTTGTGCAGGTGGTTTACCAGCACAGAGCTTCCGGTCATCATAAAACTTCCGCCAAGACCGCCCGTCGATTTGGCCATCAAGTCTTGAGGCGTGGAACCCTTCAGCCCTTGCGCAGATGACAACACAAGGTTGAAAAAGTCATCACACGCTGAGTAAACTCTGTCACCGACTGTCTGAATATCTTCAATAGCCTTCAGTAGAATGTCGATTTGCGGGAGTGTAATAACAGCCGGCGACTGGTTGATAAAGACTGTGGCCTCGCCCAGGAGAGCCAGTAGGAAGTCTTCGCTTACTACTGAGTCCCTAGTGTCATCGTAAAGTCCGCCACGGATATTGTCGTCGGAGCTGGAGATGACAGCCACCAGCGCGGATGCAGCTTGCTTCTTCAGCTTCAAGGCTTTAGTGGGTGAAATATTATCAAAGTCTTCGGTATCTCGTAGTTCGTAAAACTTGCGTAGCGTAGCGTAACCACTAAGCATTCGACCAAGCAGTTGAGCAGCTTCCAAATCTTGCTTGGCTCGCTTTTCTAAAGTCTCGGTTCGCTTTCGCAGCAAGTCCTTCAATTCCTGGTCGAGTTCCTTCTCTGAGGGATAGACCGTAGACTGAACGAGAGAGTAAGACATGAGGAGGTTCAGCACCTCACGAACCTTGTCTGATCGATGAGACAGGGCATAGTACCAGAGAGCTTCTCCATATCGGTGAGACTGCTTGGAAAGAATCTCTGCAAAGGTCTATTTCAAGTTAGTTAGGATCGGTGCTGCGATTATATTATTCTCACCTCTGCTGTTTCCTCGGCGTAGTTGATCATGCCGAGATCGTTCAGTATCGCCCAAATCTTGTCCACAGTAGGACCGGAGTTCTCATTAAGCGTGTCAAGAAGGTCTCGAAGAAGGTCGCCGACGGTTTCCTCTGATTTCTCGGGCGAGTCCATTCGACCCAAGACTTGAATGGCCATTTCCCATCCGTCGCGCTCTGGTGACAGTTCATCTATTCCTGCCAGCTCCTTGGCGTACAGGACAAGAGTCGTGTCTTTGATGCCTTCAAGCTCATCAGGTCCTGGTTGTGTTAATCCTAATAGCGCAAGGTCATCCATATCGAGGCTATCGGTAGGGAATAGACTGGGGACCTCAGGGGCGGGTAACCATTCACCAAGTGATGCAACTTCTGCTACAGTGCATGCCAAAGGCAGTGACCATACCCTCAAGAAACCCAGCACGGCATTAACGTTGCCTTCAAAGGCAGAGGCCACCGCAACCTCGACAGAGTTCATGACATTGGGGTTGAGGTCTGATGCGGTCACCATATGGAAGGCGGTTGCCAATCGGTCAAAGTAGTCTTCGGAGCCGGCGAAGCGCGACGACGCTCGCAATTGCAATTGCGAGAATCTAAGTGCTTTGTGGCGTTGGTTTCCGTCGTCCCACCATCCAAAAAGGCCTATCGTCGCCTCGCACCAGTCTTGGGCAACTTCCATAATATCTTCATGGTTACCCAAGATGATACCATAAACGGTCTGCAGGTTCTCGTATATATCCCAGGGGATCTGGCTTGATGCCTTTCGAGCCATTGTCGATAAGGATTGTGGCTGAGGGTCATCCATCAGATCTTGCACATCCTGCTCCTTTCCTTCCGCAAACAATGTCATTCGATTCAGAGCACCACGAGCCTGAATTCGGAAAAGAGTCCAGTTGCTGTTCCAGATATCCCATTCCGATCTCGCAGCCGGGGACTGGTCCAGAACATCGGCAGTAGCAGCAGCGAATCGTCTAACATTCTCGAGTGATTTACCAATGTATGCGTAATCACCTCGGGGGCCTCGTCGAACATGTTCCCAGCCAGCCTCCCTCAACAGATGCGACGCACTTCTAACATCCCCACGGAGAAGTGAGCATCGCACAGTCTGCCAAAACAGGCTATGGCATGCAGGACTAGGGTTGTGGCGGCTGATGTCACGGACTTGATCAGGATAGAGGTTGTGGCTCTTCTGCATCCAATCGAACATGATCTCGGGCAGAGGTGGAGTCTTCTCTTCGTCGGTATCATTGTCAAATCGAGTGTGGTGCATACGAAGTATTAGTTCAGCAATGTAGGCAGCCTTCTCGAATATCTCGGCGTTCATTCCAGGGCCGACTGAAGCAAAATCCTCTCCCTCTGGTTGGGGAAGACCGTCCACGCATTTGTTCCATAGTTGAGTGAGACGGAATGTGATGTTTGATAGAGAGTTGTCCATCTTTTCAAAGTCTTCTTCCGTTCCAACTCCTTCCTCGTACAGCCGGCATACGAGTTCTTCGGTATCGAGAATCATGTCTGTAGGCTCGACAATGTGGGCGGGTTCATACTGGTTGTAAAGGTTCTTGGCGATGGATGCAAATTGGAAGCCCTCCGGACGACTGGACATTCCAAGATGAGTCGAGGTTTGCCTGAAAATGCTTTCTGCTTCTCTGCGCACTCGGGTTGTCGCTGCCGGCGTATTGAGCACCATAAGGTCGGACTCGTCTCCAATCATGGGTTGACCGTAAGCCCGGTCGTCATGTCTCATATTCAGGAACATGTCGGCTTCTTCAGAGCTTTCTCGTTCGAAAACACGCTCTTCCTCCTCGTATTCTGCATCTTCCCCATCGTCACCAGCAATATCTTGGGCGATCAATCGTTCGATCTCGGCATCGACCTCACGCGGGCGCTCTTCTGGCGCAGCGGACATACGGAAAAGACTGCCCCGATGCGGCGGGAGTTCCATCTCTTCTTCAACATCCTGGTCTTGATCTTCCTCTTCCTCTTCGGTGACGCTGAATTGGCGGCTCAATCCTGAAGGTTGTCGTCCTCTTATGGACCTTCCAAGTTGGCTGCCTGTTGTGCTGTTGCGCCCGAAAAGATTTCTCCCGGACCCAGTGTTGGTTGAAGTCCCAAAGTTGATAGAGCTTCCCATGAACGACGGTGCGCCAGCGGGTGTGGTAGAAGCAACTGAAGATGGCGGTGGTCCACCAGGGGTTGTCGTAGGCTGTTCGGGGAGGAACGAGAGATCTGTGTTGCGCCCAAACTTTGGTGTCGCCGGCATAGGACTGTTGGGAGGACTGCTGTCCACCATAAATCTATGAGCCATGATGCAAAGAAGCTGTATTACAAGAGCTCTTCAAGCTTCAGGTTTAGGTCGGCCGACTCGGCGTGTCGGAAGCAGCTAGTCTTCTCACTATCGAGGATGGATTTGCGTTATTCTCGCATACGGTGATGGTGTTCGGCGATGCAATGGATAGTATTTGGATGCGATGTTGAGTTACAGCCTCTGTTTGCTGAAGCTGAACGCGCTTGGGATATTTTTTGGAGCTATCGCGATGGGTAACACGCGCCGTGGTTTATCCGGCGCCGCAATCCCTGTCTTATGACATTGGTCTCTCTTTGTTCCTCGTAACAGTTTGAGGTCTTTCAAACAGGAGTCTTCATTCGATTTAAATCATTGTTGTTTTCACTTCCTAAGTTGACGGTGTTGAAATTCATTTCTTGTGTTTCTCTAAAGTTTGCCAACTTTTGCAATTGAAGATTGGCATACGTGAAGCCGATTCGGCTTGTTGATGATTGTCATGTAACTAATAGGAAATGGTCAACGTTCATGATAGACTGAGTAACAGTCGGTTTGATTATCCGTCCATTGGCGCATTCAATGCCGTGATCTTTCTTGGATATAGGTCGAGAGAGGCTGAGTTAGAATGTTTTGCGAAAACCTCTACAGACAGTGGAGTGGACGGTCTGTCATGGTGCAAGAGAAGTGCTTTAGGTTGTTCTTGTGACATTCTGGAAAGGTCTTGCGATAATCTCTTATCTTGTTCTCCCGAAGATTCGGCTCTAGTTCCGCTTTAACCTCAGCTCAATGATAATTAAAGTGATCTCGAACAACATCAGGCTGTGGGCACGGCATTATACGGAAGGTCTTCCGACCCCGTGAAGAAACAAAGACCTCTCATCTTGACTCACTGACCGGCGTCGTATGTACCACCGACGGCCGAGTCGGTCTCATCTGCCGAAAGAAGTGTAGGCAGACCCCGCTTTTGTCTCTCATCAGTGTCTTGTCTGTGAGGTTATTTGGCTATCTTTACCAATTACCTCGACCTAGACACCAATGGCGTATAACCTTGGCACGCCCAGACAGGCTCCCCGCGCCATATCCTCACGTAAACAAATACAAACGGAGTGTCATGCCCAATGAGCGATAATAATATGTCCGAAGCCGCCTGAGATTTCCTATCTTAATGCGTGGTGTGGATTTTGAGCTCCAATTGCGGGGTACGCAACGTAGGTACGCACCCGGAGTTGCTCGGTGATCGGGATCTTGATGCGGGCGGTTTCCTACCGATTCTATGCCTACATAAACAGTTTCCTTGAAACGGCCGACCTACCATTTAATCATCTAAGCCCCATCGTCCCCTTTAAATTGATTGTCTCTCTGTTTTCCATACTACTTCCTTTCTTCCTCGACATTCCATTTCATCACATAAAATCGAAATAATGTCTACCGTTGGCAAGGTATGTTCCATTGGCAAGCTCCCTCTTGCTACCTACCCCTCATCGTCACAGACGCCCCGCTGTTGATGATATGAGAATACAATATTGATGCCATTGCCAGCCCATTACCTGTAAGGCCGCTGTCGCCTGGGAGGCCGGCAAGCCTCTCACCATTGAGGACATTGAGGTTGCTCCTCCCAGGGCCAACGAGGTCCGAATTCAGATCTACTACACTGGTGTTTGCCACACAGGTACGCTTTTTCTGCTCGCGTCATCGTGCTCTCAGAGCTCCACAGACGCGAGAAACACAACAGACAGCTAATGTTTACCAGATGCCTACACACTCTCTGGCAAGGACCCCGAGGGTGCTTTCCCCATTGTCCTCGGACACGAGGGTGCCGGTATCGTTGAGTCCATTGGCGAGGGCGTCACCAACGTCAAGCCCGGCGACCACGTCGTCGCTCTCTAGTATGTCTTTCTCTTACCTTGTCCATTACCATACAATCTAATCGTTTCCCCAACAGCACCCCCGAATGTAAGGAGTGCAAGTTCTGCAAGTCCGGAAAGACCAACCTTTGCGGTAAGATCCGAGCCACCCAGGGCAAGGGTCTGATGCCCGATGGCACCTCTCGATTCAAGTGCAAGGGCAAGGATCTGCTTCACTTCATGGGCACTTCCACCTTCTCCCAGTACACCGTCGTCGCCGATATCTCTGTCGTTGCCATTGAGCACGATGCTCCTATGGACCGAACCTGTCTGCTCGGCTGCGGTATCACCACCGGTTACGGTGCTGCCACCATCACCGCCAACGTCCAGGCTGGCGACAACGTTGCCATCTTCGGTGCTGGCTGTGTCGGTCTCTCAGTTGTCCAGGGTGCCGCTGCTCGCAAGGCTGGCAAGATTATCGTTGTTGATGTCAACCCCTCCAAGAAGGAGTGGGGTGACAAGTTCGGTGCTACTGACTTCGTGAACCCCACCGAGCTCGGTGACCAGTCCATCCAGGACAAGCTTATCGAGATGACCGACGGTGGTTGTGACTACACTTTCGACTGCACTGGCAATGTCGGTGTCATGCGTGCTGCCCTCGAGGCCTGCCACAAGGGTTGGGGTGAGTCCATCGTTATCGGTGTTGCCGCCGCTGGCCAAGAGATTTCCACACGACGTAAGTTAAACCCCAACAACTCATACACCGCTCAGAGATACTGACTGTCTGTATAGCATTCCAGCTTGTTACTGGCCGAGTGTGGCGAGGATGTGCTTTCGGTGGTGTCAAGGGCCGTTCTCAGCTGAACGACCTCGTTGCCGACTACAAGAAGGGTGACCTCAAGGTCGACGAGTTCATCACCCACCGCAAGACTCTCGGCGAGATCAACAACGCTTTCGAGACAATGAAGCAGGGTGACTGCATCCGTGCTGTCGTCGACATGCAAAAGCTCGAGCCCAAGATTTAATGACCCAAAATGTAGTATAAACAAATGATAATCAAAATTTTATGTTGAATGACAAAACTGGGGTCCTGATTGGGATGGGTTGCTACTCTTAATATATGCCATGACTGAGTACCTTGATAGACATATCGGTACAAAATGCCCTAGACCCTTGATACAGTATTGGATATAATGCGTAGTATGACTCCACTTACCTTTATTGGAGGGTCTATGTGAGGTTACAATGTTGAGTTTATGTATAGGCCGCCTTTGCACAGAACTGTACAATGCAAGTCGAAATGAAACAGTAAACAGCGAGTTATATAAAAGACAAGGCAACGCCCATTCACTCTCTAAATTATGTTGAGATATGAATAGTTAGAGGCCAGTCGCTTAGATAGCATATGGTTATGTTGGTATTTTGTACTGCACCTTGATGGCTACGATACCTACCTATCTAGAGGTAGCCAATGATACTTCACGGAACTTGGGATCCAACCCAATGATTATCTCAACAATTTGAAACAACTTCTCACGTATTTTCAAAAAATTTCACAAGGTAAAGTAAGCTATTCTCATTTGACTACAAGGTCCTCTTATAACAAACATAAACGATGTTATGATTAACCAATCAACTTAACTAGCATATCTTAGTCTTGCATAATAGCTTGCACAGCTGCACAGTCTACTCGAAATCCGGGGTATCTCCACTACCTGTGTCCGATTCAACAGAGTGGAGCCTTTGCAATCCACTCGATGTCATTTGCCTAAGGGGTTCCATGACGAGTCGCGACTGACATACAATTTGCAATAACCCTATTCAACAACACGATATCAGATTTTCGACAAGATGCGCTCATCGAGGACATCAAAAGATGCTTCGAAACTATTCGATCGCGCGAAAGAGTCTACTTCGCCACCGAGAAGAGTGACAAGATCTGCCTTGGCCAAATTCGCCTTTATCGCGACAGAAGAAACCAAACCTGCCGTCGGCGACATCGAAGATATTGGGGAGCCTGCACGAAAACGAAAACGGGTGGCGACGATAAAGACAGAAACTTCAACATCCCCTCTAGCAGTAAAGACCGAAATCCTCGACGAAGCCCTCGATGAAATTCCATCACCACCTCCAAAGGCGAAACGCGTTCGCAAGCCCGCTCGCAAAGCTATCGATGCGACGACCGGCGTAACAAAGATAGAGCCACCATCAGATTGGGAGGCCATCTATGATACTGTGAGGAAGATGAGGGCGCCAGGTGGTCGAGCGCACGGTGCGGCCGTTGACACGATGGGGTGCGAACGTTTGGCAGATGAAAAGGCATCTCCAAAAGACCAAAGGTTTCATACATTGGTGGCGCTCATGCTTTCGAGTCAAACCAAAGATACGGTGAACGCCGTTGTCATGAGGAAACTCCAAACTGAGCTGCCACCGTTTGAGCCAGGGGCACCTCCGGGGCTAAACCTAAATAACGTCCTGGCGATCGATCCCAAGATTCTCAATGAGTTTATCTGGGCAGTTGGCTTTCACAATAACAAGACAAAGTTTGTGCTCCCGCCATCGGCATGCTCGGGTACATCGAAGTTGGCTGACTTTTATTTAGGTATATTAAGCAGACGGCCGAGATACTCCGTGATCAATGGAATGGCGACATCCCCGACACGATCGAGGGCCTCGTATCACTACCAGGCGTCGGGCCCAAGATGGGCTACCTGTGCTTGTCAGTGGCATGGGGAAAGCACGAGGGGATTGGTGTTGATGTGCATGTACACCGTATCACGAACCTCTGGGGTTGGCACAAAACCAAGAACCCAGAGGAGACTCGTACGACACTTCAATCATGGCTGCCACAGGACCGATGGCACGAAATCAATCATCTTCTTGTAGGATTGGGTCAGTCGGTATGCCTGCCTGTTGGACGCAAGTGCGGCGAATGCGATCTTGGTCTCCAAGGTCTATGCAAGGCTGCCGATCGAGCCAAGGTATCCGCAGGGCGTAAGCTCAAAGCGGAGGAAATAAAGCTGGAGGCTCAAAATGGCGCAGTAGTTAAGACGGAGGTTTCACAAAACATTGTGAAAGAAGAGGAGGGTGCCATTGTATGATGAGAGGTCCTTTCATTGACACTGACACGATTGACCCCCATTCTCGGCCCCGCCCCCGGAACCAGCCACCCCATAATAAATCCCCAGGATCGAGTTGGCTACATAAGTTGCTGGCAGGAGACGATTTGACCACGTGTATGAGGCCTTGTGAAAGTTAGTGCAGAAAGGTGACAACTGAAAAGGGCGTCTTTGGGGTGCGTTGATACCCCATTGATACCCTATTGTTCATTGTTAAAGTGATGAGTCTTTTCGAAAATCACTCTCGTGGTCTAGCCCAGATGGCGCTATCAAAGGTGCGGTCCAGACGGGTGCTCACGAGATCAACCATGCGGACTCGATACGATATCGGAGATAAGCCGGCAAAAAATAGCAGGGTCCTAGAGGCTCCTCGCTAAATGCAAAGTCGCATCCAAGTCCAGGCGCAAGTAACACGTAATCGAGCCAAGACAACTGATCGTCAGTCCATTCTGAGTCAAGCAATGTCACCGCTTCCGCACCTGTCGCTGTGTCGAGTTCATTCGATGATCTTTGTTCCAAGCACTCGCACGACTCAATCAATGACGAACACATTTGATGAATAGTAAGTAATGATTTGTGATGAATTGATTTAATGCAGACCCCGCTAGAATGGGGAATTATGCCCCCTCAAAACATATCCAGTACGCCGTCGCATCCTCAACTGTTGAAATAGAAATATACAATGGCGAATAACGCCCTGCATCTCTTCTCATGCAGATACTGTGTCGAAACCCAATCCCATCGTTACGTCGTGGCCGTCAGAGTCGCGCATCGTGTACGTGAGGAGTGACGCCAGTCTCCAGTCCGTGACACATCTGTTATGAGAGTATGTGTGATCTCTTTGGTCGGTTTACACGCCCCGGATAACCTGGGTTCGCTCCGACTCGAGTTGTACAGCGTTACGCTCGTAGGACTGCTTTTTACACTAGGAGCTTTGTTAGAGAGGGTTGACAAGATCTCAAGTGCTCAACTTACATCCTCAAGACCAGTACACTTGTGGTCTTCTAGTAGACGGTGCTTGCCACAGAAGTGACCTTGGCAAAAGGTACAGTCGCCGACGATGCGCTGGGCAGGCTCGCGGCAAGTAGCGGCGGTGCAACGGATTCGCTTAGGAGGCATGATGTCGGTTGTTTGTGGTAAAAAAAAAAAAAAAAAAAGTAGTAAGAATTGATGGAAACCCAAGGGTTTATATGTTCGCAGGGAACGGTAAAAATATGAGATGACGGTGAGAGGCGAGAGAGCGGTAAGAAGTTGGCTGAACCAAGCGAGTTGTAGTAGTGGATGATGAGTTGGTTTAGTAAAGAATTGGATGCAAGTGACAGTGTCTTTCGAAAACTGCGGAAATCTAGCAGATTGAACCAAAGGATTCACGCAACGACCTGGACTAAGAAATGGATTAACTGTTCAAATCAAAGCAAGGGAGCAACTGCTGTTGGGAAAGGGGACCGAGACAGGTCTTTATACAGGAGACGAAGCAAGGCGGCTGATGAATGAATCATGCCTTGGTGGAGCCTGGTCGGTTCGCCTCCAGCTCGTTCTTACTCTCACCACATTCACAGCCATGACCATGGTCCATGGTCCATGGCCATGGGACAGGGGGGGGNGGGGGGGGGGGGGGGGGGCGTGTAGCGAAAATGTTTACCTTGCATTGCATTGCATTGTATCCGTGGTTTGGGGCGATAGTCACACAGTGTATTTAATTATGGGAAATGCAATGCTCAGATACAGGCAAGAAAGCAAGCTTACAACAACGTTGAGCAGCCACCCGTTTACACATGCACATGCACTGCATATGCATAAGAAGGTACGATATATCATTGTATTGGCACGTCTCAAGAACAGTTCAGAGGTATGGGCGTTGGATAGATGTTGTCTCATTAGAGACATGTTTTGAACAATTCGTATTCCCAACGAGGCGAACAGCAGGAGATACTACTAATCCATGATGAATGACAAAGACAACAACATGGCAGAAACTCGTGGAATCAGGATCTCACACCCCCTCCCCTTCCCATGTGTCTCTGTCTCTGTCCCGTCTTTTTGGCTTGGGCATGGCTGGAGCCTGGCGGTTCCAACGGGCCACTTTTACCCGTAGAGGGATTGGAATGGATGGTCCTTGAAGACCGGAATCAATAAAGAGGCGAAGGCGAACTAGAAGAAGGGTTCACCGCGAGGCTCCGAAAGCGGTGACTGAATGAATCTACGAATTGAACAGGCGGGGCGGGTCCTGTAACTCCAATTGTAGGTGCTGCTGTACAGTGCTGTTACAGGTACTACGGTGGTGGGTACTGGAAGAAGGGTCCCCGGGGGCGTGACGTAGATCAGGCGGGCGAATAAACTTGCATTTTTCTCCCACTGAACCCGAGGAAGAGAGAAATGGTTACATTTACAATTGAGGCCGACGATGACGGCAGAAGGGGGGTCCATCTCTTGTTGTCTACAATTCAGACTCATGGTCTTGCAGGCCGTTAATCAATCAACCTCTTTCAGTCTGTGCATCCTTGTAAGCATTATTCATCAATGGACTTCTATTCATTATTGTTGCCCAGCCTGGCCTGTTACATAGCTGAGACATGCTAACAAAGCGTCAATTGCTTCTTCATCACCAAAAGCATCATCAACATTACCTGTGCTCATGACTTCAGCTCATCCCATCAACCTAGCCTTGTCTAAACACTTATCACAGCGGCTAATGGGACGGACCACAACGTGACTGGTCCCCTGCCTTTCTCAAACTGAATTTCGTATCCACGAGGTCCAGGCCTACAACGGGCCTACGTAATGTACTGTCAACCTACAGCCCGTCTACAGTACCGCCTAACTGCGAGCTTCACTGTTTTGACGAATCTTGTAAAAAGGGACCCGAGAAATCCCTGGGTTCCGTGTCGTAGGACATTTTTCTTTTTTAGCGATGGACCGAGACTAGGATAAGGGTGCTACCCTGCATTCAGCAGGTGTCTCAATCGCCAATCGTTTAGAGGCGGAGGAATCAGAAAAACATGGCTCTCATGCATGGGGATCGACCACCCCCAACAAGCAGAAGCAAAGCAAAAGCACGAGCCGAGCAAGCATGGAGGTTTGCGCTGAGCCGAACTGAACTGAACCTACAGCCATGAGCCACTAGCCACAGCATCATTGGTAGCCAAAACGCTCTTCCTCTTCCCAGCTGGAACTGGGGGGGGCGGGACGGACGAGTCAGGTCTAGCCTAGGCGCATCTGGCACCATGAATCGGCTGGATACAGCAGTACAGCGCATACTGATAAAGTCGGGTTCAGGCGGTTACAAGAATAGGCGGTGGGAGGAGTTGTGGTGTTCATCAGGCTATTGCTTGTTAATCGACGAGAACCAACAACGACAACAACACATGACTATTCATCCTAGCAATTCCAATCTCGCGACATTGGGGGATGAGATGAGACCAGTAGTACGCCTCACTAATCAATAAGATTTCAAGTCTTTATGCTGATCCCGCATTGTGGAGACTACTAACCTATGTCTATGTACAGTTGAAAGGAATGACGCCAAAGTCATGGATCTATACGTCAATACTGTTCACTACGTAGATGCAGAGATTTTGAAGTGCAGCACTTAGATTGATTATTACGACGACCATGAAATTAAAGTCTCGGTCGATGTGAGCTCGGCCAACGTTGGCCAACTATCCGATTCATCAGCAGATAAAACGATCGACATCATGACACTCACTGTACATGCTCTGTGGTCAGTCTCACACTTTCTCCCCATTCCGTGACATGTTCGAGCCCATCCGGCGTCGTCCGCGTCCCTTGTCTCCGGTAATGTTGATAAAAAAGGGTAAAACAGCCCCCGTGCATATTCCGGGGACGCCGGGCCCGGATCTCCGACTAGAATCGCTCTTGCATACCGATCAGGCTATAGTAAAAGACATTCTCAACTGTCGATTATACTCACAATTTGCCATACTGTGCTGCCAGTCTCTGGAGCTTCCCGACAGCTTGGAAATCTTGGATCTTGTTAGTGTATCTCTGCTAGATATCCGCCACTCCCGATAACTGGGGTTTTAGTGTATTTCTTGACTCTTTTAAGTTCTGGTGATCCGGATATGGTTGATCTTTTGGCCAATTTCTTGGTCTGTGCAAAATTTCCATGGCTTTTTTGTGTTTCCAACTTGTTGGCATATTGGAAGATTGGGTCAGTTTTCCGATAACCTGAGGTGGACTAGTGGTATAGGTCATAGATCGAAATTGCTGCAAGGATTATCAACAAGTTAAAAGCCGTCATCGTATAGGGGTCAGTACATCAGTTTGTGGCTCATTCGAAGCACTGAAAACGCAAGTTCGAGTCTTGCTGACGGCAAAATAATTATTTTTTGCATTTTTTGCTATTCACTATCTCGCACGTAGTCTATCATGCGAACTTGTTTGTATCATGATTTCTTTTTATAAGTGACTAATTGACATTGACATCAATTGACATTCAACTTTGCTGTTGTAGTATCATACAACTCGAGGCCTGGCTTTCTTTCTCTTACTTGAACAATTTCTTTTTGAATAGTATCTAATCTCTCGATATTTATCTCATGAAAGATATGAATGTCCCTCAATTTCCTTTTCAAGTGAGGAAAGCTATCAATTACCAATCATGGAACGTGGGGTTGGCCGTGACGACATTAAAGCCGCTTCTCTCACCCTGTAGCGATATCAACTTGCATACTCTTGTGTAATTGTTCCGTGTTAGAGTCTCTTCGCTACGAAATACTTCCTCTTCATTTATTATATTGCCTGAGCAATACCACCCTCTCATTCATACCGGGTACTCAAACTTGGTGATCCCCTCAACCTTATTATAGTAACCCCTCATCACATCACCAATATCCCGAAAGATCCCCGCCATGGCAGCAACATCTCAACCACGAGGCATCAGAATTGCCATTGATAGAGGAGGCACTTTCACCGACTGTGTAGGAGAGCATAATGGAAAAGAAATCATTATCAAGCTTCTGTCCGAAGATCCGGCCAACTACAAGGATGCCCCGCTTGAAGGCATTCGGCGCATCATGAGCCACTTCCTTGGCCGAGATATCCCCCGAGGTGAAGCTCTGGATACCTCCAAGATTGACTCCATCAGAATGGGAACAACCGTCGCTACAAATGCCTTGCTTGAACGAAAGGGCGAAAAGATCGCCATGGTCGTAACCAAGGGTTTCAAGGACTGCTTGACCATTGGAAATCAGTCAAGACCAAAGATTTTCGATCTTGCCATTCGAAAGCCTGATGTGTTGTACGAAAAGGTGGTTGAGATTGATGAGCGAGTTACCCTCGAAGACTATGCCGAGGATCCTGAAAGGACGCGAACCGAGGCAGAGGCTCAAGTCGGCACCAAAGAAGCAGAAGGCAAGACTTTGGTCCGGGGATTGTCAGGCGAGACAGTGAGAATCCTCAAAAGAGCTGAAGAAGACGATATTCGATCAAAACTCAAGGACGTTTATGACCAAGGTATCCGCAGTATCGCTGTGTGTCTTATGCATGGCTATACTTACCCCGACCATGAGGCCTTGATTGGCCGCGTAGCTAAGGATGTCGGCTTTCAGCACATCTCTCTTAGCCACGAGCTTATGCCTATGATAAAGTTAGTATCTCGAGTTACTTCTGTATGTGCCGATGCATATCTCACCCCAGCTATTCGTAAATACATCGACGGCTTTCAGGCTGGATTTGAAGGTGGACTTGGAACTCGCAGCGTAAAGGAGGAAACCGGCGCAAAGGGAGCGAGGTGCGAGTTTATGCAGAGCGATGGTGGCCTAGTCGACGTGGAAAAGTTTACTGGATTAAAGGCAATCCTGTCTGGTCCTGCTGGAGGTGTGGTAGGGTACGCGATAACATCATATGATGAGGAAACCAAGACTCCTGTCATCGGTTTCGATATGGTAAGTTTGACAGGATAGAATTGCAAGGAAATTAGAATCTGACTTTCGTAGGGCGGTACCAGCACCGATGTTTCGAGGTATGGCGAGGGGCGATATGAGCATGTTTTTGAAACGACAACTGCTGGTGTGACCATCCAGTCCCCCCAACTGGACATCAACACCGTCGCAGCAGGAGGCGGATCTCGTCTCTTTTTCAGAAACGGACTGTTCGTT